GCCTGTTCAGCAGGGACCAGTGCAATTTTGACCTGTGAATGGGTGGGCTGGTTGTACAGAAGTTTGTATATGCAATGATATCACCACTATCACCACCCCTTCCATTTTATAGCTGATGAAAGGTCGGGGAGCTTTCATTCCGCTAGTGTTACCGCCAAAGATCAGTTGCGTGCTGATGGACATCAGGTATTTTATGGAGGGGGTGGGGGTGTGAGTCAGTAGCAGCAAGAATGATAATTAATGATGGACTTACAATGAGGGACTTTTTTTTATTTATTTTTTTTAATAAAAGAATTGTTAGATGTTTGGGTGTCTTTATTTCTATTTTAATACTACAAAATTATATCAGAACACTGTATGACCATCCACCAATAAAAGAGGAAATAAGCTGTTTAGATATATTTTGTAGTAATAAAATATTTTGCAATTTTTTTATAATTGGGGAGTGCAAATTTACCCCTATTTTTCCAGTCTTTTTCAGATTATTGATTCAGTGCTTTGGGTATGCACCACTCCGGGATTATAGTCTATTTGAATGGTATAGAACTAGACTAATTATACAACATGATGTGGCAGTGGGGAGTGGTTATATTTATTATTTGTTTATTTCTTTTTGTGAATGTTAAGGAAGGGGGGCATATCTAGGAGCCTCCTTATTAAAGGGGGCTTCCAAATTCTGATAAGTCTCCTGCCCATAGACCCCCTACAACCACTAGGTGAGGGTTGTAGGGAAGAGGCCCTTGTCCTCATTAACATGAAGATGAGGTGCTTGCTAGAGGCCCCCCCCCATGTTGAGGGCATGTGACAATGTATGGGGGGTGGGGGGCACTGCATGCTTGGAGTAAGGGCCTGGTATGGATTTGTTAGAGGGACCTCACACTTTTTCTGTTTTTTTTTTTTTTTTTTGCAAGGAGCCCCCTAAAATTCATACCAGACCTAACGTTCTGCTATGGATTTCTAGGGGGGTCTCATGCTTTTGGGGGGGAATTTATGCTAAAAAGAAAAAAAGTGAGTGCCCCCAGGGAATTTATAACATTATTGTTGTAGGATATTCTAATAAAATTGCAGGCAAAAAAACTTCACATAATAAAAAGAAAATAAAATCACACAGACCCCTTTGAAATGTCCCCCACAATATAACATACTTTTAGGGGTCAGACTCTGCTGTGAATTTTGGGGCAGCCTTTGGGGCCTGTGAAGCATGAGGGAGATGCCATTTGCCATTAATTTAAAACTTTTTTTTCTACTATAAACGTCAGTGATAAAAAATAACTGGTCTCAGCCATACAGAATTTTTTTTTTTTTAATTTAAGTTAAAGGGAGTTGAATGTTAAAAACAGTTCTGGTCATTTTCTGGGCTAAGAGGAAAGGAAATATCAAGAAACAAAGTGGTATGGGAGGTCTAAGGGACATACTGAAGCAAAAAAAAAATGTTTAAAACTCTGTTTGGCTGGGAGCAATGATTTTAGTATTGCTTAAAGTGAAACATTAAAAATGCAAAACTCCATTAAAAAAAACATGCCTGGGGATGCACTGACCCTGCTTGTGAAGTGGCGCATCTATAAAATGTATACAACGTACTATAGCAAAGCTGACATTTACAAAGAAAAGGTGTGTTTAAATTGCCACAAAAAATGACATCACCTAGCTACTTTATTGTTTGTAAGCAAATAGTCAGGGATTGTAGTCATCTTTACCAGACCCTTAGCCTTGGTTCACAACGATACGACTTGTCATGCGATTTGACAGTTTCAAATAGCATGACAAATCGCACCCTATTGTTTGCAATGGAACTGTTCAAATTGGTGCGTCTCCAAATTTGCTAAATTCTTTTAGTGTCAAGATGTTTGTGAGTTTCCTTGCATGAGGGTCCAGTTTTAAAGTCCTCCTACAAAATTTCAATGGGAATGAATTCAGGTCTTTGACTAGGACAGTCTACATATTAGGTCCTCCAAAATTCCAAACCAGACCCTCTCTACAGCATGCAGCTTTGAGGCAAGAAAAGAAGGGATTAGCATGCACCCCCTCTTAATAAGCCATGCTAGGCTTACCCTCAGCTTGGATAGTTATCTTGCCAGATGGCACTGCCCCCCCCCCCAAAAAAAAGAACCATGTCCCCATGTTAATGAGAACAAGGGCAGAAGGCTTATTAGAATCTGGAAGCCCCATTTAACAATAAAGGGACACACAGTCCCCTCTATGTGAATGGGTAATGAGTGCATAGCACCCAAACTCATTACCAAAAAAAAATGTAAAGTGTAACTAAAACACACAGTTCTTTATTAGGAAAACAAATCCCATTATATAGATTTATGTCCATCACAATGCCTGACACCCTCCAAAAGAATAAATCGTATAACATCTCCTAGAGCTGTCATGAACAATATAGTGGAAGGAGTGGGGGATAATGGTGAAATCATTACTCAAATATGACCATGTAGCCATATTTAGGCAACAATGTCTCCCCATATCCCTGTTCCTTTGCTTACATGAGTGGGGATTCCCAGCGATGTAAGCGAATGGGCCAGGTGACATCAGTGGTGCGCCCGCTGCTTCCTTAATAACCATTGGCAGCAAGAAGCTGTCATGTTTGTCCACTCCAAACACCTTAAATGTTCAACATTCAGATGGAGTGCATACACAACACTCAGCTCATCCCAAGATAGAGCCAATGTCTGTTTTTAAAGTACATGTGTTCTCAGTGAGATTTATCATGGTGTACCGTTCTCATGGTGATTACATTGAGGGGAAATCTCAGTACTGACAGTTCCTGCTGGAAGAGGAGGTAAGGGAAATATTCCCAAAATGCACACCAATATCAGTGACAGTAAAAGTGTAGTTTTCCCATGTGTCTCAGGAACAGAAATTGAGATACCACTTATCCAAAAGCAACATAAAAACTCCCTGCTGTAAACAAAGTAAATTAAACAAATTTAACTGATATTCAACTCTAATTATCATTTCTTAACTTACTAGCTGTAAATTAAATCATAGATTCAAATTTGTTTGACCTTCATGTGAAGTTTCAATATATGTTGATTTCTAGGATTCAACACTGCAAAGGGAGACCTTGTGAGATCAATTATGTATCCCAAACCTGTGAATTTCAAATTACACAGAGAGGTTTTGAAAGTTCTTGCTGGGCTTGCGGTACTTTCCATCATTGGAGTCATATACACAGTTGCACTTTACTCGTTTAGTGGGGTAAGTAGAATACTTTTTTGCAGGTGCTGTCAGATTATCACATTCAGAATCCCTTCTATGTCTGAGAGCATCTTACAGCCAAGTAAATATTCAAGTAGGTAAAACATGGCACCTGCTGCGGTCTTTAACTGGCTTATGAAGCAAGGACTAAGTGAACTGGGCAACGCATGTCAGTAATAAATTAAAAATAAAAAAAGGGTTCAAAAATCAACTCGCCAGCCAGCTTGCCAACAACCAAATTGACCTGTCTAACAGTATGTGTTAAAAACAGGGATTTAGTTAGCACACATTTGCAAATACACACGTAAGCCACAGAACCACATCACGGCACCCTGATATTCTGTGGTCCTAACTCTACAAATTTGAGTCCCCATCGTAGAGGCACATGCATTTAAAGGATAGACTGCACATCTCCACATAGCTCTACTTTAATATAATAGGTATATTGTCTACACCAAACACTACTGACCTTGGTTACCATCACCTAAGTATTTACTATCCACTTACTGATAATACTGCTCAATGTGTTGCATAAATGTAGTTTATGTGCTTAGAAGTGGGTTGTAATATTCATATGCCAGACCTAATTTGAATTCCAAGTACTAAGAACTATGCATGCATTCTCTCCATATTTCCATTACACATTTGTAGTTTGTACTAAAAATAAATACAAGTATATTATTTTTTCCCCATGTTTAACCTTAAGTGCCCATTATATGATCGTCACCTGAGTCAGCCAGTTGTGTTTGGATCAGAAAATGTTTATATACCTTTAGGCACTTCTACAGATCAGGAAAAGAAGCAATTATATATCACCAGGCATGCCGGAGTTAGGGCAAAAATATAGCACCAGAACACTTGCGTAACTCTAAACTGATGACTGCTAGAGGGTTTTTAAAGAGTTGCCTATTAAAAAATATAGGGTACTGATGTTTTTCAATGTTTCAATGGTGCATTAAAGTTTAAGGTTTGTCATGCTGGGTATCTACAATATTTCCTTGGCAGAATCTCATCCTTTATATTTGATCAAAAAGTAGGTATTAAATTGCATACATGAGCCCAAATACTAACTTTAGTGTATTTTTACTGTAATCTTGCATTTCAAAAACCGTTGTGCTGCTATAGTGTAACATAAACAATAGAACTACCAACATTTTATTTTTTAGGGTGCTTTTAGAAAATGTATAATGTTTTGGGGGTTTTAAGTAATCTTCAGACCTAAAATTATTTTTCAAACAAGTAAGCCACAAATAAAAAAGTCTCTGGTACTCGAGTGGTTACAATATCTGTCTTCTGGCACAGTGTGGAAGTATTAGTTTGCCTTACCTGCCAGTTGATCGTAGCCAGTGAGGGGAAGCTGGGAATGCATACCTCCCTCATTACACACTGCTGTTGTGGAGAGAAGGAGAGTGGTGGGAGGATGATGGCAGAGAGCCGCAAAATGCACTTTCGCCTGTGTAGACAAAAATCCTTGCACTGGTTCCGGTACCAGTAATTAATAAAGATTATTGTAAGTAGAGTAAAATTTCTGATTGGATGCATATCTGGAGAAAAAATAATTAACAAGGAAACTTTAAGATTATTAATGTTTTGTGTTTTTTCTTTGTGGAAACATAAAATGTTCATATGATCATTCTTTGTTTCTTAGGCAACAGTTCGAGAATTAGTGATCATGGCACTTATCATGGCAACTGCGGCTGTACCTGTTTGTCTACCCCCAGCTTTGACAATCTGCACTCTCTACTCTCAGGCACGATTAAAAAAGCAAGGCATTTTTTGCATCAGTCCACAGAGGATTATTTTGTGTGGACCAGCTAAATGTTATTTGCTTTGACAAAGTATGTATTATTACATTTTCAGACATTGGGGTAAATGCTAAAAAGTATAAGGCGTCTTTCACAATGGTGGTTGTTCTGCCACTTGTAAATGCATGTTTTTGTTATTTTGAAATTTCAACACTCCTGGCACAGAAATCACTTGCGTTTACACGTTGCGTTTATGTGCTTTTACATGTGGCTACATTTAGCTGTACATTCTTGCCTTTCTATAGCAACTGTTTACTTATTTTTTCTTTGTACTGCAATTAACTGCGTTTATGTACCTATAGCTGTGGTACATTGCTCCTGGATGCTGTCAACTTTATTTTTCCTAAACGCATAAAAACCGTATGTTATGAAAATGTTGCTAAATGAAGTGTGTGAATGGAGCCATAGAGAGGCATTGTCTGCATTTAGTTGAGGTAAATAAGTTCCTCTAACGGCAGCTAAAAGCTGAAATCTAGTTGCCCACCCGTGTAAAAGGGGCCTTATACATTGAGCAAGTAAATATTATAATTTGCATTATCTGGTTTGGCTTGCATCATAGGTAGTCACTGACAGCTGGGTGTGATTAGGAAGTATTAAAATAGTTAAGAGACGTTGATTATATAAATATATATATATATATATATATATATATATATATATATATATATATATTTTTTAGCAATGCACAGTCTACAGTATATCAGTTGAAAGCCCTTAGTATATGTACACTTTTTGCTGTCTGTATTTTTTTTACAATGGTTGTTATAAATATTTTAATATTTTACTTTATTGTGAACATACAAAATATTTTTATGGACACAGACGAATTAACAACACATCCGGGTTGATTTATTAAAGACAAATAGATTCTGCATTTTGCAGGTGCAGTTGCAGTTACACTCTGCAAATGCATTTGCTCCATAGCTTAGTAAATGAGGGGAAGCTCTGCTGACTTCCATCATCCAATCACATGCAAGCACAAATGCTGTTTTTGTTATTTTCCTTGCATTTGATTGGGTATTCTTTGTAAAGTGATGATTTATGTCATTTACTAAGCTCTGCAGCAACTGCACTTTCAGAGTGCAACTATGTTTGCAAAATACACCTTCTTTTTGCCTTTTTTAAATACACCCCATTGCAGAGCAGGTTTTTAGTTATCATGAGCATGTACCACCTGGAATAAAAAAAAAAACAGGTTGGGGGCTGATTTACTAATGCAGTAATTTTAGACTGCCCCATGTTGTTAGCAAAAAAACTCACATAGAAGAGAACTTCTTCTAATAGGGAATCATGTTTTAGATATTTTTTTATTATTAGTAAATTTTTTCTGGAACAAATTTGAGCAGCACACAAATAGGTGATTTTGTAGTACGTATAAAGACAAAAATCTTAAGTAAGCGCCAAATAATACTCAGATATTATTCATTACCATAAAGTACAAAATTAATACAAAAGCATCCATTTTCATTAGCTGTATCATGTTGTTACTTTGACCTCTAGTAATTCTTTAGTTTTCTTGTGATGAAACTAGTATAAAGTGATATACATCACAATGGCTAATATAGATGTCAAAATGGTATAACTATGTGGAGGATGTTATAAAAGATGTGGAAGTATAACATGGATATTACTTACAATTAGACCAGTATTACCAGTCTTAATCCTTTATAGGTTCATAATGTACTTATGTGTTGGTATCAAATATCAGTTACAAAATCGACTCAACAGGCACTAAGAGTGCCACAATTTTATGTTAATGTCAGGGCAGGAGCGGTGGAATGGATGGGCAGGCCTAATGGTAGGGTCACGCACCGACTGACGACAACCACCACCCACAGACCGGAGTCCCTCAGGGCGCGGAGTCTAAGCCCCAGGCTGCCCTTCACCAGAGCCCCTGATGGTGGGGATGGACTTGACGCAGCCAAGAACCAGGTCGCGGCCCTCCGAGAAACCCCAGCTGCGGTAATGGCCACCGCCAATGTCGTATAGCTGGTAGGAACCAGATAAGAACGATAGCGTAGTCGGACAGGCCGGGTCGATAACAGCGGGACAGACAGTACAGAACAGTAGACAAGAATACACAAGTCACAAGCCGGGTTCAACAACGGGAGGTCAGATAAAGGGATAAGGCTGAGAATAGTCTTAGACAAAGCCGTGTCAGTTTCCAGGAGAGCCACGAGAGTAGAATAAGAGCTTGCAACAACACTATCAACAGGACACAAATGCAAAGAGCAAGTGCAGACAACAGGCTTAAATGTGCTTAACCACACCCCTCTGGGGGATGGACCGCAGAGGCCTGAAAGCATAAAAGGCAACCACCATGCTTTGCAGAAACCCAAGATGTATGCCAGCACATGGAGCAGCATAACCTCTTGGAAAAGGTAGGACCTTGACAGTTAACCAGAGAAATAACAATTCAAAAAGAAATCTTTTAGATATTTTTCTACTCTGGGTTCCAAACTAACCATTGCATATGGTGCAGATTTATCTAAGGGTGTAGGGACTGTTTCACTTAGCTTAGTGAAAAGGATGCAGCAGTGTTCCCTTCTGAAAACCAAAGGGGAAAAAAACAGCATTGTCCCTTGCATGTGTTTGTATAATTAAAGTGAGTGTCTCTTCAAAGTGAACAGACTATATTCCTTTAGTAAATCAATCCTTATGCATGTGTGTCTGTATGTGTGGTATATTTAGTACTCAAAAAGTTCTTTGCATAATAAAAGAGGTTTTTGAAATTGAAAAATCTGTACATACAACTACCATTGATGAGAATTTGTATTAATATGTATACCACAATGGAATTTTCAGTTGTTTTTCTTGATTAAGCTTGTATATCTAAAAGCTGTCACATTCGCTTACCAATTTATTTTGACTCAGACAGGTACTTTAACTGAAGATGGCTTAGACTTATGGGGTATCGTTCATTCAGAAAGAGGCTGGTAGGTTTTATGAAAATTCCTATAGTAGTTATTATGCTGGTATGTTGTGTTTCTATTGGGAACACTATTTATGATGATTACAATAAGATGATTAATATTATTATTAGTGTTGGTAATAATAATACAATGTTTAATAAATACTAACTCTGTATGCTCAGGAAGCCATGTTGAAACATAAAAAATGTTTCATCCATGGAGGAAAGCATGATTTATCCACTGCCAGTCATAGTCAAGAGACACATGGAGATAGTTTCCATTACCTGTGGAAACCAGTAAATGTAATTTTTGTATTGCTTGTGTGGCTAATAAACATATAGTTTTCCTTTAGTTTTCAGGAGGTCTTTTCTGTTCCATCTGGTTGCACATTACCCTGGAGTACTTTGACTTTAGCAATGGCCAGCTGCCACTCATTGGTTCTAACAGATGGGAAAGTGCATGGTGATCCACTTGATATCAAGATGTTTGAAGGAACAGGCTGGGTAATATCTAGTCATTCTTAATTTAGAGAAAATGACTTACAGAAACTCCCAGTGACCACTGTGTCATGCCTCACTCTATTCTAATATACTGTATCCATCACTTTAGATTACAAATATTGTCTCTAGATATACCTTTAATATCTACATTATAATTTTTATCATTTTATTTTATATAATTATAAATTATAATTTTATATCTAAGCATTGTCCTGCAATTTACTTTATTTGATACTGTAGGTAAACTGACACATACATATATCAAATAAAAATGACTGACCCCATATTAAAGTCTAGTATCTTGTTTCTTTCCTTAGGAACTTAATGAATTCAAGGAAGACAATAAATCAAAGTTGTATACAATGGTTACTCCAGGACATGAAGCACGGGGTGTAAGATATATACAGTTATTCAGTCATTTTATTCAAATATATCCAGTGATAAATTTGAATAAGAAATATTTTTGATAAAAACAACATATGAAGCTGTATTTGATAACTCCTCAGTTAAATCAACTCCTATCGATAGTGATAAATAGTGTAGTATTTTCTAAGCAGAGCTAGTCCAGAGAAATGTATCTGGTTGCTTTATGTTGATCCAGCAAGTTGAAGTTTGAGGCAGTGCTTATGAAAGGATGGGTGCTAGGCCAATGCCATTACAAGAAGTTTAAAGTCTAAAACATTTCAAATTTCTTGCAAGTGTCTTCATATAACTAAAAAAAGGAACTACTGGATATATACCGTAGTTAATTTAAATACCATACACATTATCTTATTATTCAATAATAAATGATTATAAATTTAGTAAACTAAATGGTGGAAGGCTATTGTGAAGAAATTGATACCAGAGGTGGTTGTCTACTCATTGGGGTGGATATACTAAGGGCAAATAGACTTTGCACTTTGCAAGTGCAGTTGCACTAATTTTCCCCAGCTTTGTAAATGTTTTTGTCTTATTACTCAGATTTTCAAGCATTTGCAATCTGTTACGTGCCTTGGCATTGCTGTGCACACTAATATATGTGTGTTTATACATTTATATTCATGACTTTTGTCTGTTATTGCGGTACTTATTGGTTTAATTGAATGTTAAGGAGTTGAGCAGCACTTTGGAACACAGTGTGCTTACTAACATCACTTGTGCCACTGCTTAAGAGAAATTGCTAGAGTTGTTAGAGTTTAGGAACCAACACCACCAAAACAAGTTGTTAATGAAAACTGGAGCTTCATAGAAAAGTAACTATCAGGTTCCTGCAGACTTTCTGCTGAAGTTAAGGTAATTTTTATGGCTCTTCCAGTTTTTTGGTGTCCCTGTATTAGATTCTTTTGATCATCAAATTATAGTTACACAGGTACATACAAACATATTTAAAGACATTGAATATTCTTATAGCACTTTTACATTTACTTTCTCTTATGAGTGAACATTATGTTTATTATGGAGTTAGGCATTTTTCTCTTGGCTATTATATACAGTAGTGCATCGTTGCTTGGGTGCCATGCTGCTCGGCTGTTTTGATTTGAATCCTCAGAAATCCTAAGAAACACACTTTTGTAATGCTATCTACTGTCTTTCTAAAAGGTTTTAGTGAAAGGACTTTTCATCTTGCACCAGTTTCCCTTCTCTTCCAATCTCCAACGAATGTCTGTTATTACAAAAAAATGTAGGAGAACATAAATTCTCAGTGTTCCTGAAAGGTGCGCCAGAGGTGGTGGTGATATTTTGCAAGCAAGATACAGGTACTAAAATAATTATACTTCTACAAGCATTTAATGATACAAAAACATTTTTTTAAACTGTTGCTGAGTGTATATAGAGTTGGAAATTCCTGTCTGAATTTGGATGTCATTTATGTGTTAGTGCTGCAACCTTTAATAAAGTCTCTTGTGCTGGCAGCAGGCTGGAAATCCAGACTGCTGCTCTCACATAGAGCACGACCTTCCAGATCTCAAGCTGACTGACCACTCTGCACAGTGCTCCAATCAACAATGCTGCTCTTTGCACCAGTACAGATAAAATGATTGCAGGAATATAATCTGGTTTGTTTCTCATTCATTGAGAGACATAAGAATTCCTTCACCTTTGGGGTATACTGCCACCTATAGGAGAATTGGCCACTGGCAAATGAAAAAAAGTGGCCAGCCCAGAATAACCCCTCCTACTACCAGTATTTTCTAGAGTCCAAAGAGGATGGACATCTTTTCTTCAGCTCTGCTGAGTAAAAGGCATTTTTTCTGCTATTTTAGCACCTTTTCCATGGTCTTTATGATTTTTTTCTTTAGTCAGGATTGTTCTCTATACTGCTGCTAGAGTTTGTTTCTTTGTTTATAACTATCTGGTGAGGCCGTCCTAAGCCTGGCTTGGATTCCACTGGCTGGAAGGCAAGCCTGGAAGTGACCTTCAGGCACTGGGTTCCATGTTGTTTTTTTTCAGACTCCATTGTGGTAAAAGGTTAGTCACAAAATGATTTCCAGGTCCAGAGCTTCTGGCATTGCCTCAGCACTTAGCCTGTCTGTACAATTTCATTTTGACTAAGCACTTGGAGCTACCTCAATACAGAGGTCACTTCGTGCCTTTAAAATTCCTTATTTTGTGCCAGTTTCCATCACAGAATTGGTTAACACTGTGGGACTGAGTTCAGACATCATCTGCAGGGTAGAGTGTCACATGGGTGTGCTCCATGCTCTTTTTTTGCCACCATACAACATTGAGGAAGCATTTCCCCACTGGTGCATGTGCTTTGCAAAGAACATTGTAAAACTTCATTCTTAGAACTGTTTCTGCTGCACACCTACTTACCTGGCTTTGGTTACCTCCTCCTCTCTGACCCTCACCTGCTATCAGTACTATGTTTTATGAGTATATGAGGCTTTGTCTTGTACCCTGAGCCTTTCATTTCCTTATGTCACGTGGTTCCAACATGTAGACATGGGGAAGTGCAGTCCCTCTGTACTGGATGACCCTAGTTCATATTTTACTAAGAGCTCCAGGGCTTCTTGCAGTGTGCCTACTGACATGTCAAATGTATGCAATTTCGAATACTGTTGCCCTCTGCTCATAGTGTCTATTACAACTTCGGAGTCTCCTTTGGAGACCTTAAGGCCTCAAAGACTTGTACTTGCTGTTCCAAATCTTCCTGATAAGATGTTTACTCCCACCAAAGCCTGCTTATTAGCCTTTATAAATGGGAGCCATCTCTAGAGCTCTGTTCTCTCTGGCAGACCCTACTTTTCACCCCATCTTTGTTATGATCTTGCATTTCCAAACCTTGGCTGTTTGGTCAAAGTTGCTTAAAAGTGATCTTAGTACTACTGAGATTTAAAGTTTGAGCAAATAATTGTAGCTTTAAAGCAGAAATTTACCCTCCCCTTCATCTTTATATCAATCTCCTCCTGTTCCACTCTTCTTCTTGTCTGCATCAGAATTATTTTTTTTTTTACTTTTATTTTTTATTAAGGGAAGGCTCACAGCCTCCTGGGATACCTAGGTCATGGATACCAGGAGACCGCTGGGTACCTGTTTTTAGAAGATCATTACAATGTACAATGCATGTACCATGCCACATCATTAGGGGAATCTTACCATCTATTCATTTTTGCAGCTGCACCCCTGCTTCATCATGGGGCAGCTGCACAACCTGGAAGAGACAGGTGACACCCCCTGGTGATGTCAAAAGAAGATAGTGCCATAGGACCACGTGAGCTGCAGCAAAACACTAGAGAACACCACTATATCACCAGGCACATGAGTATGCTTTCTTTGCACAACCATGAGCTGGTGGAGGCTTCCCATCCCATCTCCCGAATGGGCCTCCTGTCTGTACACATGCAGGAAACACTTTGGCTGAAAGCATCTGGACTGTTTGAATCTGGAACCCCCAAACATTATACATTTAAGGTAATGGAAAGTAGAATAACACTAATTTTAATGTACAAAAACCCCCTTCTGCCACCTGTAAAAGTGCATAAATGATTTAATAGGTTAGCAGCAATTAGCTGCTACATATGCCTGCGCAATTGCTTTTACATTTCAGTCCATCACCAGATAAAAAACAAGTAAATGCAGGCAAAGCATCCCAGTATAACCCCTTCAACCTGGTGATGTACATACATGCTGCAGAGGGGGGGACTGAAGTGGTTTAGACCTTTGTACAAGAAGTTTCTAGTGTAGCTCCCCATTTGTTCCTTACTAAGACTCAGTAAGGACTCAACTGCTTCTTTCTGCACTTCAGAATTTACTGTTTAAACCCATGAAAGCCATTGTTTCTAATTTTTGTGGACTCTTTAATGACTGGCATAGTACCACTGGGTTGGCATAAGGCCGACATGGTGCCTATATTTAAAAAGGGGTCACGGGACAACACAGTGGCTAAATGATTAGCACTTCTGCCTGCCTGTACTAGGGTCATTGGTTCAAATACCGAACAAAGGTGCCACCAGCCTGGAGTTTTGTATGTTCTCCCTGTGCCTGCATGGGTTTCCTCTGGGTACTCCTCCCACACTCCAAAGACATGTTGGTAGGTTAATTGGCTCCTGTTTAAATTGGCCCTAGTATGTATGAATGTAAGTTTGTGACTTTAGATTGTACACCCCTTGAGGTTTAGGGACATATGTGAATGTACAATATATCTGTAAAGCGCTGCATAAATTGCATCGCTATATAAGTACCTGAAATGAATAAAAAATAAATAAATTAGCAATGTACAGGCAATGAGGTACAGAGTAGAAAAATCAGCAAATCAGAAATCCAGGCCATGGTCACTAACAGAGATGAACAGCAAACAAGGAAAATCAGAAGTAGATCAGGGGAAGCCATGTCAATAACACGGTCAAGCATAAGGATCATCAATTGCAGGAACTCAGACTGAAAGAACATGCAGCAAGGATCCTTTTCAGAGCTTTGTTTAAACTGGTTCACTTTGTGTCAGCATTGTGGGGGACATGCCTGCATGCTTGCACATATATGTGTGTGCAAAGTTGCACATCCAGTTAGGCTTTTGTGCCGTAAATATGTGCACGCTTATGCACATGCACATTATCCTGTTGGCTGGTTCAATGTCCCTGACACATACCTTTTTCTTCTTTTACTGTCAACGTGGTATTCATTGTAGCTCCCCTGCATGACAAATATCTGGTGGTCCTATCCTGCAAGGTGCCCTTTCTGGTTTTGTATAAGGACATGGTGTTAATATGGTCTTAACTTTCTATGTCTCTCAGTGGACTTCAAAAAAAGGGTTTTACGGTAAGTTCAAAAATCCAATTTTTACTGATTAAAAAAAAAAATAGAATTTGGTGGTGCACCTTGGACAATACAAACGTATGCCACAGCATAATCCTACAGTATGTGACAACGTCCTTGGCTTTCTTTTCTGATAGAAAAAAGGGAGATGTTTAGAACGTTTTTTATGTAAACTTTCTTTAAAGGCTAAGTTCACTTTTTTTTCTAAATTCCATCTTTCCTATGTACCAATATATCAATAATGTACCTCTGGTGCAGAAAAGTAAAAACCTTCTCTATATTCTAGGGCAGGCTTTGCCTCCAGTTTCCTCTATAGAAAACTCCCCCATGACTTCCTGAGGAGGTACATCAGCAGCTGAGTTCATTAAAACACACCCTTCCCCCTCCAGAAAATTGTTTCCACCTACCTCCGTATTACATGCTTCTCCGATGCAGTCATTGTCAGTGAGCAACAGTCTCCCTGAATACATAATCAGTGTTTTCTTCTGCTGTACATTACAGGACTTGAGTGAACACATAATAGCCTATGTGGAGCAGAGCTGTAGTATTGAAAACAGGAGACGTGTGTCCCTGAAAGTTTGTAAAGCTCACCATACACTATACAATATGTATGTAGATCTACCATCAACTATGTAGTGAAAGGACTTGCCTGACTGGATACAGAATGATTGGATAGATAGATGTGTCCCCTTATTACATAGTTTTGGGAAATCTAAAGGAGATTGTAAAATCAGATTTTGTAGTGTATGGCCACCTTAAAGGAAGAAGTAGGAAAGTGGGAGGAAATAAAAAAAAGGTGATATAGTGATGAGGGAGGTGTGGCATAAACCCGCCCTCTCCTGTGATGTAGTAAGGCAGTGCAGAATATGACGTTTCCTAGATGGCCACCTTTATAAACCTAAAATAAATTTGTCGTTCTTTCGGTGCTAATAATTCCTAATGGCACCCCAAGTGCAGAAGCAAACATAAAATTTTGCCGTACACAAAAATTAGCGAAAATTGTGGCAAAGTGCATGGTTAAAAAATGTGCAAAGCGCAACACGCCAAAATTCCCTTGAGCCATTGTGCTGCACATAGGGAAGCCCATTGAAATCAATGGGCTACCCTATGTGTGTCATGAAAAAAATGCGCCAAAAATATGCACTCCCATTACACTAGATATGAATGGGGCCTAAAAGTGAATTTGGTGTGTTTACACAAGAACAATGATATCTGAGTGTCTCTGCCCACTCTCTTCCACAAATGTGTATAAAGCTGTCCGTCCATATACTATTCATTCTGATTGTACAATCTATGTACAATTTCCTTTAGATTTACCAAAACTATGAAATAGGTGGATCTACCTGAATAATCTATTCAATTTTTATCAAATCAGGCAGACCCTTTGTGCTACATAGTTGATGGTAGATCTAAAGGAGATTGTAAAAGCAGATTCTACAGAGTATGGCCACCTTAAAGGAAGAAGTAGGAAAGTGGGTGGAAATATAAAATAGGTGGAATAGTAATGAGGTGGGTGTGGTTTAAACACACCCTATTCTGTGATGTAGCGCACAATGAGATATAGTTTCCTAGATGGTCACATGATGGTACAGGAAGTCAGGGCTCAGAATGCAAAAAAAAAAAATTAATTACAAAAAAATTTGAACTGAGAGAGTGCAGATTGAAGGTGGACAAGGTAAATAATATATAAGTACATTGGTATGGCTTGGGCAGAAAAGACATAAGAAAAGGCCTATGTACTAAGTAAAGTGAACTTCTCCCTGGAAAGGTGAACTTAGCCTTTAAATAACTAATTTAACTTTGCATTACTGTTTCAACTGTGAATGCTTTTATATTTTTAAACAGTGCCAATCAATTTCTCAGATGTACTCAACCAGTATACAATGCAAGGTTTCCGTGTCATTGGGATGGCATATAAAAACTTAGAATTAAATGAAGATGCTAAAGTAGAGATGTTAAAAAGGTAAGTACTGTTTATGTTGGTACATATTAAGTGCTTTATTGTGCTGCTAGAAATGTTGATTACCACCTTTTGAGCAGAGTTTGGAAGTACTTCATAGCAGCAGGGGCGGACTGACCATTTGGAAACTCGGGCACTGCCCAAGGGCCCGGGGTCAGTAGGGGGCCCCATGAGATGCCCCTGGTACCTTTTTCATAGGCTTTTTTGAGTTTGGGCAAGGACACAGGGGCCCCATGATCCCCTATTGTCCGGGGGCCCCTTGAGTTGTCAGTCTGCCCCTGCATAGCAGTAAACTAATTACTAGACTCTGTGCTCCTTGCATGATGTTAGAGGTAGTGATAAGTAAACCTATATGCATGCATTGAAATAACACTGATACATCATTTTAATATTCCTGAAAATTGACAGAACACTTTTGTTCCGTTTAAAAAAAAAAAAATACATGAAAATTAAATTATAAATAAATAATAAAAGCCTTGGCCCGTGGCTGGCTTTGTCCTATTCATGTACCTGGAACACAAAGGCATATCAGCTGCTACCTCTAAAGGAAGAGTGTGAGCAAACATGCATGTATATTGATGTTATCTCATATTGCCATCAGCTAAAAAAGCAATGTGTACCCCTCTCTCAACATCCTACCAGCCTTGTAGGCAGCTTGTTTCTCATAATTAACAAACCAGAGCAAGGAAATCTTGCAGATCATGAATTTCTATAGAAGTAGATACGTCAGTTTTCTAGATTTACTTACAGTAAATGGACTGGGCAAGTGATGGAAAAGGCACAACATAAACTATGATTTATTTTTATACTTTCTTTTTGAAAACGTGGGCATATACATTTTTATTTTGAGAGGGTGGGAGTAATACAAACACTTCCACTTGGAAAAACAGTCTAATTCTGATGAATATACAAGGTGATGATCAGGGCTTTTTTTTCAGCAGGAACGTGGGGAATGCAGTTCCAGCACCTCCAGCACTGAATGTATGTAATGCCAAGGGGTGCTGGGGTGTGTTGGAGGGTCTATTGACACTGGCTGCTTGAGATCTATTGTCCCTGGAGGGGATCTATTTTTGCGTGGGGGACTGTTATTGCTGGGGAGGTCTATTGTTGCTGATTGGGAATCTATAATAGTTACTGAGGGGGGTCAATTGTTGCTGGGAGGGATCTACTGTCGAAGGAGAGGTCTATTGATGCTGGCTGCAGAGAGATCTATTGTTGCGACTGGGGAATTATTGTTTCTGGGGTGGATCTATTGTTACTGAGTTGGATAGATTATTGTATGGGTCCATTGTTGCTGGGGAGGTCTATTGATGCTGGGGGGAATCTATAGTTGCTGTGGGTGTCAATTGTTGCTGGGAGGGATCTACTGTTGAAGGAGAGGTCTATTGATGCTGGCTGCAGAGAGATCTATTGTTGCTACTGGGGAATTATTGTTTCTGGGGTGGATCTATTGTTTCTGAGGTGGATAGATTATTGTATGGGTCCATTGTTGCTGGGAAGGTATATTGATGCTGGGGGGAAAACAATGGTTGTTGACTGCAGGAGATCTATTTTGTTGCGTTTCTTGTTATCAGTAACAAATTTCATACATGCTTCTAAACACCATAAAATGTTACTTGGTTTTGTATTCTCTAAAAAGGACAGTACTGGGAGGTGGGTAGTGGATGGAACCAAGGAACAGTGCTTAGAGGTGGGTAGGGGTTGGAGACAAGGGATGACTCAAAAAGGGGGGGTTCCTGCACCTATTCTTTAAGAAAAAAAAGCCCTTGTGGCAATATTAAAGCAGAAGGAACAAATGTGCTGACTATAAGAATATTACTCCACATACATTGTCTGCCAGGCTGCTAAATGGTGAACTGGATTGAAAGAGCAGGCCAAGGAAACTGCTTATGTAGCATATTTTATAAGGTCACTTAGTTGTTGTAGGCAACCAAAGTCCATATAAATGACCCTTGTATCAGTTACACACATAAATTGACCTTCATTACACCCTCTTCTGCTAATTAAAGAAGCTCAGGCTGCCAAATTGTTTATTGTCAACCAATCAAAAACTGTGTAGCATCCAATCATATCTCTAGAGGGGAAAGAAAAATATAAGAGAATCTGAAAACTGTAGTTCTCAGAATCACATTTGTCATATTTACAAGACTGCCAATATTTCCAGATCTGCTTCTGAACAGACCATCCACTAAGTAATTGATGCATGACTAATGTAAATGTAGCATTTTATTCCACAGTAATGATTACACTATGATATGGGGTGTATAGATATGTTAGATGATGGCCTATAACAATCTTTTATAAAATATTATACTTTTTAGAAAATAACTTCTGTCTCTTTTGAACTGATATACATTAACATATTTCCAGGGAAGAGGTGGAACATGATCTTTGTTTTCTTGGATTCTTGGTAATGGAGAACAAACTTAAGCCAGAAACAAAACCAGTCCTCTATGAACTAAAATCTGCTAACATAAGGACAATCATGGTGACAGGTAGGACTACATCTGAGTAATGAAATAACATGTGCTTATAGTCCTTTTGAATATCTGTATAACATGGTTTATTATCTGTTTGGCACAATGGCTCAAAATTGTCTACTAGACAAGTTAGACTAGAGTAGACAAGTTAAGCAGTAAGGATTTTTTTCAGACTGCATATCCTTGCTCGCACGTCACATTGCTGCTGGTGCATGGTGATTGGCTGTTCATGTCACATTGAGGCAGTGAAAATCACAACATGAAGCTAATACAAAGCTTCCTCTTCTTGTTTTTAGTGGCCAGAGTCAAGAAGGAGCAAAGCATATGCAGCTTGTGGAAATGGCATTAAGTAAACCTGTTCACTCATTATTTTTTCATCATCATAGTAATTCTGTATATCACTATTACATTCTGTTTTGTTTCGTTCAACATCTGTAATATTTTCTGTTTAGAGAACAGTATAATGTTGAGCAATACAATTAAAGAGAAAGATTACTCTGTGTTTTTTTGCAACATTTAATCTCAGTAATTATTATCATTATTATTATTACCTTTTTCATAATCACAATGTTTGTGTATGTTACAAGGTGATAACCTTCAGACAGCGTGCACAGTGGGACTAAGCTCTGGCATGCTACCCAATGCTTCCAGTTTACTCCTGTTAGAAGCTTGTGAGCCTAAAGGTGGTTCTTCAGCATCATTTACTTGTCACCCAGTAGAAAGAAGCAGAGACAAGTCACACAAACAGAATGTAAGTGGCATATACAGATTTGTTTTTAAATATGTTGTTTTAAATGTGTTTTGTAAAACAAACAAGTCACTGGTAGTCTAATGCATTCTGAAAGCACTTCTAGGCTCTTTGAGCATATGCAACCTTCACTTATGAAGTTAGAAGGGGAGAAGCTACTCAGGGCCTTCTACACCACCTCATAATGATCAGCTAGACGCCTACTATTATTGTAGATTGAAAAAACTTTGTTAACAAAGTTTACTCCAGTGTGTACTCCAGCTATGCCAGCTATTGGACCAATCAAGTGCATTCATTTTAACTTTTGTACCTAAGGTACTTTGAATAGAATTGGAAATATTTTTCCAATAAAAGATCTTAAAGACTGGTAATGAGAAAACCTGATATAAGGGCATGCATCTGCCCAAACCTAATAGATTACTTTTGTGTACTTGCTAGTAGTTTAAATAGTATAATAGCTTGCTACTTTTCTTTGTAACTGCAGTGAAAATATATCACCATATTTCTCACCTCCTACCTCCTGACTTGACTTAGAAAGCCAAGTGATGGTGTCACACTCCAATTTTGTGGTAGATATTGTAGGATCATCAAATAACTGGAGATCAAAGATACAAGAGAATGACAATGACCTTGCTCGGGGAGGAAGTAAAGATGAGTTACTTCAGTGAATTATTAAGTAATATCAGAAGTTGTTAATTGATGCAGGACACCAAAACTATCATTGTAATAGTTGATGGAATTGTCCTTTAAAGCCTAAGCTTAGTTAATTTTTTTCAAGAAATCAGCACAAGCATGGCACTTACTTTTAATGAGATGTGTCCCATGTGCTGGTGTAGGCTGTCCTTGATGGAATCTTCTGTCCTCCACACCACCATAGTGGTAATCTTCCAGTACGTGGGGATATTAGATCCACAAATACTTGTCTCCTTTTTCTCCTCCATTCATAGAATGTGCTATAGCCTCTGTCAATGAAAAGCAGTCTATGAATGGAGAATGGGCGGATGAATTAAAGACCCCCTCCTCCATTCATAGAGCACTTATCATTGATGGAAGCTATGGTATAGCTTCTATGAATGGAAGAGACAAGGAGGGAAAGGGCAATCATGGTCTGCACTGTTCATGAGTGGCTAGGACAAGTCCAGCTCCTGTATTAACTCCCACAGCACCAGAAGATGGCAACTGCTGGTGTGTGTGTGTGTGTGTGTGGGGGGGGGGGGGACAGGAGTGGCAGAGGACTAAAGATTTCAGCGAGAACAGCAGGCACCAGAACAAAGGACACTTCTCATTAATTGTAAGTTGTGTCCTTTGTGCTGATTTTTAAAAAATTTAACTAGGCTTTGTGTATCTTGTATTCCTAATAAAATATAACCCTGTGCATAATGCTATAAGACACTTTTCATCTTATTCATGAAAAAATACTTCTTCTTACTCACTACTTCCTAAGCAAGGTAAGCTATATTGCCATACCAGAATTCAGTCTGCAAAAGTTAAACCAAGAAAAGATGGTGGATGATTGATTGCTATATATTACTGCATTAAATAATAACTTTTCATTTACACATTTCATTCATTTTTAGGGTTGTTTGCATTATGAAAATACATACATAGGAGAATATGTTTGCTGTAAGAACTAGTTAATGTAATTCTTTACAGTTTTCATGAATTGTTCTCCAATTATACAGTAAATGTGGGAAACAGTGTATATTAGAGGGTCTTGGGTACTGGAGTTGAGAAACTGCAGACATTTCTTTACAACACAACAAGAACATTTTCTCTTTTTAGAATACAGCAAAGTACCTTGTAACCACTACCAATGAGAGCATTTGGGGATTCAATGTTAGTGCCTGGAAGTATCATTACGCTATGAGTGGAAAAACATATGAAATTATGAAGCAACACTTCCCAAGTTTGGTACCAGATGTAAGTATTTAAGGATAAACAATTGGTGTGAGTTCAGTCTATTTGAGATGTTGATAGGATGTCATTGGTCCAGTTTTAAAAGCATCTTGTAGCTATAGAACTAGCTATAGACATACAGTACACAAACAATATGATGTTTGGTAATAATCCATCCATGGTAAGTGTGTCTTTTTTTTGCACTCTAAAAGGCAGTAGTTTCTTTAACATGAAAATGTGTCTCGAAAGTTCTTCGTCATGCCCCATGCACAGCCCAACTGTCCACAAATTCTACTATAGTCTTAGCTATATGATGATGGGCATCTTATGTTTATCAGAAGCTGCACTGAGTTATTTCAAGATTTCAAGGTTTGAGATGCTTTTTTAGTATATTGTTATCTAAACTAAAAAACTTCCCCACCACTCTCTTATATAAGGACTCAGAAAACAGATATCAAAAGGGGTAGTTATACACAATTTCCTGATGTTCACTAAGCAACCTATGATATCCATGGTAGAGAGATTATGTTGATCTAAACAAATCAATACTCATTTGTCAAACACTATGTTTGTGTTATATTTTACTGTGTCAATGAGAGCACTGAAAATGGTGCTTTGCTCCATAACCTTTGCAGTTTGCTTTATTTGATTAATCAGTGTGAGTGCATATACATGTATATGTGTGTGATTTATCAATGGCACTCATGAATAGCAATTTAATTTTTACGTTGAGTCAACTATGGGCGCAGGGTATTTCAGGCCAACGGTAATTCCTAGTCAATTGAATTTTCCCTTGCAACTGTGATTACAACTGTGATCAGGGGAGATGTGCCTCCTTACAATTATAATTGGTGGGTGTCACAATACATTAATGGTCAGTGGTGAAGTCCCTTCTTTAATTGTCAATGTAATGTACCCCCCAGCACTACTACAGAACTACACCATGACACACAAATACCTCCAGATTGCTCACTGGACAGTGAAGAAACAGCAGCATACTGATAAAGTCATCCTTCTGCTGACTGTATTCTGCTCTCCTGCCAACATGTTCAATTTCAGCACATGTGTACTGCTATTAGAAACTTATAGACTCCTTATGGTGGCTGTGCCTCCCCCAGTCTGAGTGCTGATATACAGGGAGGCTTGTACTAAAACAATTTTAAATATGTACAATTATTTAATTTAAAGGGGGTCAAGCTTCTTTTTTCACCGATAGCAATAGCTACCTTTAATTAGTGTGCCCGTTCTTTTATCATTATTGCTTTCCAACCAGCATACTAGTTCATCTTTAGAATGGGTGATAAGCAAAAGAACACATCATTCATGTTTTTCTAGGGCAGAGTGAATGCTAAATATGGTCTGGATCAACATAATATTTTGCTTTGCATATTATCTTTGTTAGAGGCTTTATGTCTGCTAGCAGTATGTAATATAGTATGCCTACACAATACCTTTATGCCCCAGATTTTAGATTGGCTGTTTGTTGTCAAAGACATGCAAGTAAAATGTATTTTTACTTTTTTTCTAGATTCTACTTAATGCTACTATTTTTGGTAGAATGACACCTAATCAAAAAACAAGCATTATTGAAGATTTACAAAAGATTAAGTACATTTTTTTTCTTCTCATTATCAAAACCTACACCTCTGTCTTAATACATCAAAGATTTGTATTCTTACAGTAGATTCTGAGATGTTCCAGGACATCCAAGTGTAACACTGATTCTTTTCTTTACTTTTTTCATATGGAGTAGAAAGGTCTACTGTTGTGCTATACTGTGTGTATTCATAAAACAAAAATTTCATTGGTGATGTTACACTCTGACCTTTTGTTTCTCTCACTTTTCACATTTATTAACATGAGAGCAGAGTTCTTTTGGTATACAATAAGACAACATTCACTAGAGGCAACATATAAAACCATTACATGGTGAGCGTGGGGGATAAGTTTATTACATATTTATTCAGTTTATTTATCAATTAGTTTCATATCTTTTAGAATATAACAAAAGGCAAAAGTTATTTTTCTTTAGATTTGGATGGAGTGATGGGGGATTAGAACCTCTTTCAGGGTTTTATTGCTGTCTGTGTCCCAGTTGGGGAGATTTTTTTATGGTTTAAGTTACTTATGTTACAGGAAAATAAACTGAGGTTAATTCAAAATTTTGAGTTGCCACCAGAACAGAATGTGGAAATAATACAGTGGGGACACTTGTTCCTGTGACAATCATCCACGTTGGGATTTCTCTCACCTTGAAAAGATATCTCACTTCCTGTTTATCTACAGGACAGAAAGTGAAGGGAAATTTCAGAAATGAGACATGAATGGCAAAGGAAAAAAATCTGACAGCCTTTTTAAGTCTTCCCTACTCTATCCACAAAGAAAAAAAATGTTGACTTTACATATACTTTAATGCTGCCAGCACATATTATATGTCAGAGAAACAACATTATCGACCTCTAATTCTGAAAATGTTATTTGCTTCAGTATTTTTTATGTCCCCATCTTCAAGATGGGGACATAAAAAGTACTGAAGCAAATAACATTGAAGAAATAGGGAACATGAAAAAATAGGGAAGCAGATTATGATATCTAATTGTATTCAGTACTTCAGTACTACCCCACCCCATGCAAAAATGCTGCATTACAACTGTAGAAGAGAAAAGCCTGTGGAAAAAAATAGGAAGTATACTTTAGTAAAGTTCACACAGGCTGCCAAGATGGTAAAAACATACATTTGATCTGTGTTTTTACTGCAACCCGACTGCTTACCTACAAATCTACATGAAAGCTGCTCAGGCACAGCCATGGTGGGTTTCTTTTTAGAGGTGTGACAAAGTCTGTCATCGTTGTGAAAAAAATATGGGCCATAACGTACATCCAGATTCTTTCTGACACTTGCTGAGGGTGACATTACAATCCTGAGAATATCCTGAGGATAAGAATATTCTTCTGTACTGCGCTGTAAAATCTTCTCGTGAGATTTGGAATACTTATTATTCTGAGGATTTCCAGGAAGGATAGTTATGTTACCTTCTTCTTTGTGGAAATTGATACAAGGTAAGTATATTTTTAACTTTGGGTCATGTTTATTTTTTCTGCATCTATGGGACAGTATGGGATAAATGACCTTGCACTTTGGTTCAAGATTTGCTTTATTAAAACTTTACATTCATACATTTTCAAGTGTTAAACAGTGGTCTAATATGACTGCAGATGTTTAACATGTCCATAAAATATTTAATTGTGACTTGTGTGAGGGCCTGACATACGAGAAGGAATTGATAGGATGAAGGCAATTAAAAATATCATACATCAATAAATCCAATACTGAACATTATATCCTGTTCGAATTTTATAGACTCACAATGTTCTCTACAGTATGTTTCATTATCAAAGGCAGGGCATAAAATGTTTAAACTGAATAATTAACCCATATAAAGAAACAGAAAGGTGAGATTTTCACTAATCACTTACAGTAGTTGCTGGTTTCAGACTCAATATTGCATCAATTAATATGTATGTTCTGATGCGTACATAAACATTTTAGTAGAAATGTACTATGCGAATAGTTGTTTCTTACTATATATTTAGCTACTTTTTTTTTTGCAGTTATTACGTTGGCATGTGTGGAGATGGAGCAAATGATTGTGGGGTAAGTCACTGTTAAGTTCAAAGTTGTATAGGTGGCATCACTTTGTATGTTTTAAACTCGAGTCAGTTATAATACTGTTAAATTCCAATAATTCAGTGTCACAGATAATTTAAATATTTTTTATCAACAATTTAAACCTTTGGTTTGTTCCTTCAACAATGTGATTCACTAGCATTAAGTCCTATACTGTCCCCAGTGCCTCCTCAGTCACTATACAACAAAGAAAGGAATTCCAAAATGGTATTTTCACCACTGATCTGAACACCAATTTTCAGTATGAATTCCTTTTGGAACCAACTGCCAATTCCTCACAAATACAATTGAAAAGGGTCATCAAAAGAATTTATGGATTATAGATAATATAAAAAGATTTAAAAAACAGAGGTATAAAGAAATACTCACCCTTTGTATACCATTTAAAATGGATTTGCTTCACAGTGGTTAGTGGGCCATCTAGTCACTACCTGGATCCAATATCTCTCTACACCAGATGTGATACTGTATAAATATATACCTTGTAGCCTAGAAGAGGTAAGAATGTTTACATTTTCATGGTGGGATATGCATGACAAACACAGATATTACTTGCACAAGATCTGCCTTTACAAGGACAATATGTTCAATACTGTGGTCCTGGTATTGTACAAGATTAGCTTAACATCTCACAGGCCTTGTGATTTGCATGGAAAATTCCCCAATATACATTGCTTTGTGTGGACTGTGACAGACCAAACCAGGACAGTGGCTTTTGAAGGGGACAAGGGACTAGCCTTCTACCCACTGATTATGGCCCATGGAGGAGACCGGGGATTTTGTTTGCTTCTTCAGGTCAGAGCATGGAAAAGAGCTCAGTTCAGCCTCTGATCCCATGGAGACAGCAGATCATTCTCTAATGATGGACAATAACGTGATAAACACTTAGAATGAGGCTTGGATTAATTCTCTAAATAAAGACAATAAAGCTTTCTTTCTACAGTGGATGGAAAGGTGTAATATTAATCTTGGACAGGGTAATAGTCAGAGGAAATATAGGGCTCTCCTCTAGTCTGGGTTGGAGAATCTCCTCCACTTGGGATATAAATATTTATCAACAATCACCCTCAAAAAATCTTTGAAGATAAATTCATTCCACTTTTTTAGACTGCTGGAACATTGTATAATTTTTGTCCTATGATGCCTTTTCTAGTGGACAGATTGCACAGGTGGAGGGTAGGCACCTGAAAGACAGCATGTGTAATATATTTTGTGTATTCTTTTTTGTTGTTGCCTCACTGTATGAGGTGGGCTCCTGGCAGGCCTGAGTGCTTGGCTGTTGATTAGCTTACTGTTAGCTGCTAGCTGTTAATTAGATCACTGTCAAATGTACTGATTGTATTATTATATTACTGTTTAAAGTTTGCATTATTTAGGATCATTTGATCAAGCTCTTATCTGGTCTTGTGTGGTATAAAGTCTGTGTGACTTTTAAATAAAGGAAGTTAGAATTCCAGTTGTAACTAAGCTAGTGTCGTCTAGTCCTTGGATGCAATGCCCAGCTATAATACCTTGGTCCTGTGTCCCAGTGGCAAGGAAGCAGTTCTCTGAGGGAGGCACTCAAGCGGGGTGCCAGGTGGTCCGTCACATGGATTATGAGATGGTATTTCATGTTCAAGATGAACTTCAGTTCTGATCTTCACTTAAGTCTGATCTTTATCTTACCCTATGTGGTAACTGGACAGTATCTTGATTTATGAGAGGTTTACTGAATTGTTACATGGATGTACAGCAATGCCACATTTACAGCTGTTTGAGAATCTAGAAAGGAGCCTATATTTAGACATTATATACATCATTTGGCAGATAACCCCTTATGTTACAGTATGCAATAACAGTAACATGGAATGTAGAGACTTTCCTATATACCTTTTGAAAGTTATCTTATATCATGGAAGGTCTGGTGTCACCTACATGTATGTTGTATAACAGTGTTACATTTAAAGTTTTTAGCTGTCTGAGTTCTTATTTTGATCTTATCTGGTGGGAGCATCATTTGACAGATAAACCCTTATGATATGCATTGAATATATAAATTGGGGATTAGTGGTTGTTCAGATGATCATTGTGTGTGTTCTTTCAAAGGTGTCAAAGACAGTTTCTTTTGCAAAAAAAAAAAAATTTTTTTTCTTTCCTGAAGGCATAGATTATATTATATATAGCTCAAATATAGCCCATTAACAACACTTCATTGTTGCTACATTCAGATGTATGGACATGAACTACTGTTTGGTTCAGAGAAGCGTGAACAGGAATTTAATATATGTTTGGGTCACAATTTTGAACAGAAATCTATTTGGATATTAAAGTTGCATGGTATTATGTATCCAACTACAGACTCATTTATGATTGTGAATTGGTTTTATTTAATGTTTTAGTACAAATAGGTTGTTATTTAAAAAATAAATAATTTTTGAATATTCCACCATTATTAAAAACAGATAGTGCAGCCCTAATAATGATAAAAAAATATTATGTGAGTAATCTAGATAGACAATAAATATTGACAAATAGACAATGGGATAAAAAGCTGATGCATATAAAGAGGATAATATGCCAAAATAAGTGCAAATAATCATATGTGGGATGACAAATAATCATATGTAGGATAACAAATATATTCCAGTATTAAAAGTAGATACAATAAAATAGATATAAATATGGGTAAATAAACAAATATCCGCAGAGATGACTAAAATTGTGAAAAAAGTCCCCACAGCTTCAAACCGGTGCTTGTGCCTTGTATTAATATGAGAAATGCGCACTCACCGGACGTGCACTATTAATGTGCATTATATATTATATCCTGGTGTCAACAGGTAGTCATCTGGGCCAGCGGATGTAACAAGCTCCCTCTCAGGATGGCCAATTGTCTCTCCCTCTGATGATGTGCGTGGCACGTAACGCGTAAGGAGGAGCCTACTCACGCCGTGACGTCACGCCGTCGGAGCATCGTGGAGCTCCAGCGGCCATTTCCTTTTAGGGACGGTTATTCCATTCTGATATATTTTAAATGCGCTTATTTTACGTGGATATTTACCCATATTTATATCTATTTTATTTTATCTACTTTTAATACTGGAATATATTTGTTATCCTACATATGATTATTTGTCATCCCACATATGATTATTTGCACTTATTTTGGCATATTATCCTCTTTATATGCATCAGTTTTTTATCCCATTTTCTACAGTTGTGTTCAAAATAATAGCAGTCAGACATCACTAACCTGATCAATCACTGTTTTTGGTAGAAATTATATTTCTACATGGCAAATAATTTACTAGCAGGTGTAGTAGAGTAATAGAAATCCAACAGACCCAACAGTCATGACATGCATGCTGCTGATTCTGTGTAATTGAATCACTAATTAAAAGGGGCATGTTCAAAATAATAGCAGTGTGGAGTTCTATTAGTGAGGTCATTCATTATTTGAAAAATAGGTGGCAATTATTGCCCTTATTTAAGGAAGGAAGGCAGCAAATGTTGTACATGCTGGTTACAGTGCATTTCTCTCTGAAATTCTGAGGAAAATGGGTCTTTCCAGATTGTTCAGAAGAACAGCGTACCTTGATTAAAAAGTTGATTGGAGAGGGGAAAACATATAAAGAAGTGCAGAAAATGATAGGCTGCTCAGCTAAAATGATCGCAAATGCTTTAAAATGGCAACCAAAACCGAAAGACGTGGAAGAAAGCGAAAAACTACCATTTGAATGGATAGAAGAATAGCCAAAATGGCAAGGACTCAGACAACAATCAGCTCCAGGATGATCAAAGAAGGTCTAAAGTTACCTGTGAGTACTGTTACAATTAGAAGACACCTATGTGAAGCCAAACTATCTGCAAGAAGCCCCCGCAAAGTCCCACTGTTGAAAAAAAAGACGTTCTGAAGAGGTTACAATTTGCCAAAGAGCATATTGACTGACCTAAAGAGAAATGGCGCAACATTTTGTGGACTGATGAAAGTAAGATTGTTCTTTTTGGGTCTAGTGGCCGGAGACAGTTTGTCAGACGACCCCCAAACACTGAATTCAAGCCACAGTACACTGTGAAGACAGTGAAGCATGGTTGCGCAAGCATCATGATATGGGGATGTTTCTCATACTACGGTGTTGGGCCTACTTATCGCAAACCAGGGATCATGGATCATTTTGAATACATCAGAATACTTGAAGAGGTCATGCTGCCTTATGCTGAAGAGGAAATGCCCTTGAAATGGGTGTTCCAACAAGACAACGACCCCAAACACACCAGTAAACGTGCAAAATCTTGGTTCCAGACCAACAAGATTGACGTTATGGAGTGGCCAGCCCAATCACCGGATCTTAATCCAATAGAAAACGTGTGGGGTGACAAAAAAATGCAGTTTCTGAGGCAAAACCAAGGAATAGAGAAGAACTGTGGAATGTAGTCCAATCATCCTGGGCTAGAATACCTGTTCACAGGTGCCAGAAATTGGTTGACTCCATGCAACACAGATGTACAGCAGTTCTCAGAAACAGTGCTTATACAACTAAATATTAATTAAGTGATTCAAAGGAAAGCAAAATCTTCAAACATTTTTCAGTTTATATAGTGAATGTTTGAGTTTGTAAAGAAGAATACAAACACTTTTTTTTGAACAGTCTAATATTCACTTTTCTTCAATTTTTTTTTAGAGGAACAACACAAATTTGATATAGTTTTTCTTCATGTTTTGATTTGGAATAGAATGTGTAGTGTTCCCAATGCATTTGTGTGTATGGAAATAAAAGCTATTAGAAGGATTTTGAGCTTTATTCACTTTTTTCAACACACTGCTATTATGTTGAACACTACTGTATTTGTCAATATTTATTGTCTATCTAGATTACTCCACATAATATTTTTTTTATCATTATTAGCGCTGCACTATCTGTTTTTGATTTGATTAAGGATCTCTGTTGGTTGCCTTGAGTGTACAGCTGCTTACTGGAAAAGCGCTCACTTTTTACCCACTTATACTATTCCACCATTATTGCCATTGACCTGTTTCAGGGATATCATAGAACTATATATTTTCTACAGTAGAAATGAAGAAGGCATTATAAATATAGTTAAATTTTAATATAAGCAGACAACTATTAACCCATAAACAAATGCTGATCTACAATGATCTAGTTTAAATATGGCAATCTTATATCACAAACATTTTAAAAGTACTGTAATGCATATCACTGTATCCCTAGCTAAGTAAAACTTTGTTTCCTTCTTTTTTTCCAGGCTTTAAAGATAGCTCATGCTGGAATCTCTTTGTCAAATCTAGAAGCATCAGTGGCCTCTCCTTTTACATCAAATATCTCAAATATTGAATGTGTACCAAAGCTGCTAAAGTAAGCTGCTTACCACTAACATATTTTTCATATTTCTACATGAAGTTAATTCTGGCAATTCCTTAATTTATAAACTGTGGGTTTATCATGGCTGTTCTTTAAACAATGGAAAAATAGATTTAAAACTGAGATCTTGGAGAAAAGCTAAATACACAGTTGAAAAGGTATATAGGAACTGTTTTTACCTGGCAAAAGAAATGTATTTCTGTCATAGCTGTGCTAGACAATTTGGAGTCCTGAGTTTTCTCTGCTGCAACTAAATACATTGGGTAGGTCCACCTTCTTTCAACAGTCTGTGAATAGACAGTGAAGGAGTACCCATAGCTTGATGAGATCTTCATTCTGCTGTCTCCTCTTGTCAACATGTTCCTCATCGACACATGCACTTTCCTCTTCCAGTCTGAGTGCTGTTGTACAGGACATTACAAGAGTAGCAGAATGCACTTTACTATATTTATGTACACACATAATTGTATTCATTGATTTTTTTTTAACAACTGGCTGGGATTATTTTTTAAGAGATAAAACCCATATGCAGTAATGGTATTAAATTCAGTCCTGACAGATAAAGAACACTACCCAGAACTAATGTGATGTAATGTGCAAAACAGTGTTGGGAAACAAATTGGTAATGTCTCCATAGTGAACTCGCTAAAGAAGAACAAAGTGCGGAAACTCCTATAACTATGAAATTGCCAGTCTGACTGCTTGGATGTTAATGGATAAGCATGTGATATGTTCAGTAAACAAAACTTGTGCCACACACTGTGCTGAGGACAGTTGGTAGGGTTAAAAAAACATGATGCAAAAAATGACTGCTTACTACAACAGCAGTGGTACTTGGTTTGTCCAAAAGCTAAAACAATAGGTTTTATCAATAAAAAGCAATGTCATGTGACACATACCAAGTGTCAATAAGGCATCCATAAAGTTACATACTGTAGCTAATATAGGCATCGGTATTAGCCAAATATGATTTTAGAAAATATCTCTTCAATGTGAAAACTTGCTTCAGGGATGACTGAAAAAAGAACATGTCTATTCTCATGAGAAAAATTTGACCTCATGGTAATTCTGCTGTTTTCATGTTCTGTCAGTCTTACCGCTCTTTGGTATGCTGCTCAGAATACAGTCGTATGATTCTCATATGACTTAAAACCTAATGTGATCCTTTTATTTAAGCAGTTAACACTTTGCCCCTATACTAGAATAATGGATTACTATAATTATAGCAGATAATGAGTCATCATTACTATAGTAAAAAGACCATAAGGTCATAAAGTTTAACAGCCTGTGGTGTGAGAAAAAAGGCAAAAGCCTACTGCATCTGAAATCGGGCTCATTCAGCATGGGGAGGCCATATGATCTGACTGTGCTCTCACTAAGACTTGGTTCACATGTGTGCTGCAGGACCCTTCTTTATTTATTTTCATTAACATTCATCTCTTGCCTCTAATACACAGGGAAGGAAGAAATACACTTGTGACTTCAATATGCCTGTTTAAATACCTTGTTGTGTACACTTTGATTGAGCTCGTCTGCATGCTGCTTCTGTTTTGGGTAAGATGTTAAAATGTTCTGTAACATGTGGAAATATGAACACATGCTTCTAAGGAATATTAACTAGTGATATAAAAATATAATAAGTAACCATGAGCAAAATTTGGGCGGACTGACCATTTGGAAACTCGGGCACTGCCCAAGGGCCCGGGGACAGTAGGGGGTCCCATGACAGCCCATGGTACCTTTTTCATAGGCTTTTCTGAGTGTGCGCAAGGACACAGGGGCCCCATGATCCCCTATTGCCCGGGGGCCCCATGAGTTGTCAGTCCGCCCCTGGTATTTACCAACTTGTTAACAATTTAACACTTCCGCGCTATATATGCTTAAAAAAAAAAAAAGCGCCAGCACAGTATCACAGGTATCAATACATAAAACTTATCAAATAAAAAAAGTATGGCGCTACAAATACAAAACTACAAATAGACATAAAAGAAATAATAAATGAAAATTATAAATTATAATGTCCAATGATGTGCAGGAAAAAAAATAATAAAAAATAAAATATAAAGGCTCTCGTGACAAATAGAAATTCAAATAATTTAAAAAAAAAGGCCTTGGGAATCCACCAGCACCTCAAAAAATACTGCCTCTTACCAGACTTGAATGACCACACAATTAAGTGCCAGTCAAGAAAAGCATAGTGCGAATATCAAATTAGGATTGTACTAACAGTCCATATATCAGTAATGTGAACCTATCACAAACCTGGGCAGTTCTGGCTGAATATAGGATTCCAGAATGCATAGGCAGAACAAAGTAAAAATTGTTGCAAGAGGGTCAGAAGTTCTTCCAGCTGAATGTATACTGTAAGTAATTGAACCTATTGAAGCTATCCATCGTATATACATACCATAGTCTTAGACTCTATAATTGTCAAGGTCCTACCTTTTCCCTGAGGTTATGTTACTCCATGTGCTGGCGTCCATCTTGGATTCTGCTGTGCATGATGGGAATCCTTTTATGCCTTCAGGTCTCTGTGGTCCATCCCCCAGAGGGGTGTGGCTGATGACATATAAGCCTGTGGCCCGCACATGCTCTTTGCACTTGTGTCTTGTGTCTTTGTGTTGCTATTACTCTGTTCTGACTCTCGTGACTCTCCTGGTATCTGATTCGGCTTGTGACTTGACTATTCTTTGTATTCTCCCTTGATCTGACCCTCTGTTGCTGAACCCGGCTCGTGACCTGTGATTCTCGTCTGCTGTCCTGTACTGTTTTGTCCTGTTGGTGTTGACCCGGCTTGTCTGACTACTCTTTTGTCTCTTCCACCAGCTACACGCCATTGGCGGCGGCCATTACCGCAGCTGAGGTGTCTCGGGGGCCGCGACCTGGTTCCTGGCTGCGTCAAGTCCATCCCCACCATCAGGGGCCCTGGTGAAGGGCAGCTTGGGACTTAGACTCCGCGCCCTGAGGGACTTCGGTCTGTGGGTAGTGGTTGTCGTCAGCCAGTGCGTTACATTGTTAGGCTTGCCTGTCCGTTCCTCGGCCCCTGCCCTGACAATAATGTTCGTACAGAATAAATAATATACCATTTGGATTATTTTTACCAAAGAAATGTAGTAAAAATATATTTTGGCCTGAATTTATTAAGAAAAATTATTTATTTGCAAAATTTTATAACAGGAATAAAAAACATTTTTTTTCAAAATTTTTGATATTTTTTTCATTTATATAGCAAAAAAGAAACAGCCCAGTGGTGATTAAATGCCACAAAAAGATAGCTCTAGTATGAAAAAAAATTATAAAAAATTTAATGAGAGGGAGGGAGAGAGAGAGAGAGTGAGGGAGAGGTAGAGAGACTGAGACTTCACACATGGCTAGGGAATGAAGCTGAGTGCTAGTTTGTGAGTTTTGGCGCCATGCATCCAATGCTCTTTGTGTCTTGGCATCTGCAGGACTGAGATGGGACGGCAGTAGAAAAAGTATTGTTTTAAAACAGAGCACCACATAGTAAAGTTAACTAAAGCAGAACAAAAGTTTTTTTTTTAAAAAGCAAATAGTATGTAAATGCAAGTAAAAGTATTACATGGATGCACATGCATGAATATGTGTTAATTTTTGCTTTACCTATACAGTATGTTATTCATATTTCATTTTTCAGAGTTTATTTTATCAACTTTCTCAGCATTAGTAGACGGTGAGATGATTTGCCAGCAACCAGGCATGTGATAGGGTGGTTCTATCATCACCATTATCATCCCTATCTACTCCTTTTATAACCTTTTTTTACTAAATACAGCTATCTATTAAATGAGAAGAGAGAGCCCGGGGGTGGGGGGGGGGGGGGGTCACATTGTTCTGTGCAGTTATAGTCCCTGCAAATGTAAGAGCAAGCTGGCCATAATTTAATTGAATTTTGACAAATTCAGCAGGGACTGACCAAATCTCAATCTGTGTGTGGCCGTCCCTGTTTAACAGGTGTTGATTGTTAAAATGTCCTCTGTTGAATGGCTGGAAGCTAGAAAACATTTGTTGACCAATGATTGCAATCACTGATCAGTGTATTCTGACAGTGGAGAGCTCTGCTGTCAGAATACAATGTCCTGGCAGAGATGATTCCTCCATCCAACAAACACAAATGCTCCTGCGCTTGGGGATGGACTCGATGCAGGCAATAACCACATTAAGAATGTCCTGGAACATGCACACCTTGCTGCCCTCAATAGACCGGGGAAATCCAAATATACTGAATGAGGAAAGAACAAACAGAGGGTCCACAGGCCTATTGCATTACCATAAAAAATGTTTAATAAGAAATAAAGTAGGTGTTGTACTTACAAACGACAATATAGTCAAGGCACATCATAAAAGAACAGCTGGGTCAACACCGCGCTGAGTAACAGTCTGCAGTAGGGAGTGTAGACATCCAATAGGCTGACACGTTTCGAGGACTTGCCTCTTCCTCAGAGGGCTCCCTCTGTTTGTTCTTTCTTCATTCATGACTCCTCCATCCACCTGGCTTGTGTAGATGGAGGAACCTGTGCTTAATTTGTTTGTCAAGCAGAACAAAATATACCATCTACAGCCATCTTAAGAGGGAGTAGTGGAAAGCCTATGACCTCTGAGCTGTGCAGCCACAAAGATGAAACCAAAAGGTTTGCACTGAGCCTGTACAGCAGCTGGAAAGTCTATTGGGAAGGGCACCTAGTTTTGAAAAATGTTGCCTTCAAAAAAACAGAATATATGCATTAAAAAAAAGAGAGAACCATTTGTCCTGCTTTAAATATCCCAATCTTGGCTGTTTAAAATGACACTACTTGAAAACTTTCTTTATGACATGTGCACATTAGGGTAACTGACAAAATACATTTTTCATTTTCTTTTTTCAGTAAAATATTTTACTAGTGAATTGTTTATAACATGTTTATATTAGGGTAACTGACAAAATACATTTTTTTCATTTTCTTTTCTCAGAAAAACACTTTACTAGGAAACTACCACTATCTGATGCAGGACATAGCAATTTCTGTCACAGTTATGCTAACAAGTAAGTTTTATTTGTTAACAGATCCTGGTATTGTTGACTAACAATTTATTTTAGAACTGACTTGTAATGTTTAAAGAACCCTTTTCACAGAACTATAAATTGATCAGCCATAACATGGAGATCACTAACAGGTTATGTGAATAACAATGATTATCTCATTACAATGGCATCTGAAAGTCAGTGGGATATTTTAATCAGCAAGCAAACATTAAAGTGGAGTTCCAACCAAAAGTAGAAACTCCACTTGTTTGCCTCCCCCCTCCACTAACATATTTGGCACCTTTTGGGAGTTTACTTGGTTGCGTGGACAGAGGGGGAACGGGGCAGTGAGCCAGAAGTTCAGCTCCCTCCTTACTCTCACAGTCTCCTGGGAACCTTCACAGGTCCCAGAAAACTGCTGGACCAATCAGGGTGAACAGCGTGACTTGTGCATGCACAGTGGGCACCTGGTTGTGAAGCTGCAAGCTGTCACAGCCTGGTGCCCACAATTGAGATGCTGGTGCCGTGGAGAGAAGGGGAGAAGGGACCACGCTGGTAAGTGTGCGTTTATTAAAAGTCAGCAGCTACAGTTTTTGCAGCTGCTGACTGTTATTAAACACAAAAACAGCTATAACACCCCTTTAAAATGTACTAAAGTGGTACGCTGTGCCTTTAAGTAATATATAATTAATAATGATGTGATGAAATCATAATTATATGTGTTAAATATGCATGTGTTGTAATCAGCCTACTATGAAACAAATATGAATAAATATGAATAAGCCAATATAACTGTATACAGTATTAGACATACAATCTACATATTAAAAAACATATGATTGTGATATGTGCTCCTTTCTACCAGACTAGATTGAAAGTCTCTAAACATAGTATCAAATATCCACAATGGGTGAGTGTTCACTTTGTCATATACAGTGCATAAATCTTCAACAGTCACTGAATGCATGGTGATAGGCTTCAGTGCCAGACACTCCAATGTGCCACCTTTCCACCACTAAGTGCAATGCTGGCTCACCTGGGTTCTGAACCTATATGATAATAGGTCAGAAACACTTGAGTATTCAACCCTTGTGGCTTCACCTCCTGGCTAGTAGTGCCCACTTCATGTCCTTGGTCCCTTTAAGGGACTGAACCTTACTGCCTCCAATCGCAGATGATACTCAAATAAAAAATATGGATGCTCTTGTAGCACAATACTGTCTAAAAGCTTCCGACCATTTATTTAAAAATTTGCACTCACAATAACATGGAATCAGCCTTGCTTTCAGTAAACCAACAGAATTTCACCACACCAGGGGCAGACTGACGGGTGTGGTTTGAGTGTGGGCGAGGATACAGGGGCCCCATGATCCCCTATTGCCCGGGGGCCCCATGAGTTGTCAGTCCGCCCCTGCACCACACTTTTGGTTTCATGTCCAAACTGAATGTGTCACCGGCTCTTCCCAACGTGTGGGTCACTGGTCGCATGACTTCTTGATATAATAGAGCTATAAATGATAGCTTCTAAGTTGTGAGTGACCAGATTGGGCTTCCAAAGCAAAAACGAACTGTTGATTTGCATATCTGGAAGTGGTCTTCAATTTAAAATTATAAGTATCTTAAATCCTTGATAAATGTTTTCTCAGGACAATGAAATTTCATGTAACCCTACATTACAATTGCTTAATCAATGCAATAATCATTAAGTCCCCTGGTTCTTCATATTCAATTAACTACTTAAGATTACATTTACGTTATTTGTTCTCACTTCAGTCTACTAAAATGCCTGAATATATATATATATATATATATATATAATATATTAATTCTGCAGTTAGTTAATATAGGACCTCCATGCTACCAGACACCATAATAACCACTGCATCATTTGCAAAGGTTTTAGCTATATTCTGGCGCGTGAAATATTATACACAGTCCACACAATGATAAAAGTCATATCAAATGCCTAACAATAATAAAAGTCACAATTACATATAAAAAGAATCACAGAGATATCATTTTTTTTAATGTTTTGGTTTGTTTTACAGTGAGTTTAACTGGTCCTGCTCCAAAGCTAGCTCCATACAGACCTGCAATGAGTCTGATGTCTCCTTCCTTGCTGCTCTCAGTGACCTTGCATGTTTTATTCACCACTGTCATACAGACAGCTGCATTCATGCTGGTACAGCAACAGCCATGGTACAACGAGACTGATGTTTTTAGGTGTGGATACTTTCATTTATTTAAGTACTTGTATTGTATTACATATCTTTAAAGTAAACTTGTCAGTACTCTACAGGTACTGAACAGGCTACATAACCTTTTTGCATATAATGTAATATAATATAGTTTTAAATTTTGTGAACAAAATAGATGCCATAAAATAAGAAGCAAATATACACTCACCGGCCATTTTATTAGGTACACCTTGTTAGTGCCAAGAAAATATCCCCCACACCATTACACCACCACCACCAGTCCACCACCAGCCTGACCCATTGATACAAAGCAGGATGGATCCATGCTTTCATGTTTACGCCAAATTCTGATCCTAACATCTGAATGTCGCAGCAACCAGTCTGTCCATTCTCCTCTGACTTCTGACAGCAACAAGGCATTTTCATTCACACAACTGCCGCTCACTGAATATTTTTCAGACCATTCTTTGTAAACGCTAGAGATGGTTGTGCATGAAAATCAAAGTAGATCAGCAGTTTTTGAAATACTCAGATCAGCTCGTTTGGCACCAACAACTATGTCACATTCAAAGTCAATTAAATCCCCTTTGTTCCCCATTTTGATGCTTGGTTTGAACATCAGCAAGGCATCTTCACCACGTCTACATGCCTAAATGCATTGAGTTGTTGCCATGTGATTGGCTGAATAGCAATTTGTGTTACAAAGCAATTGGACCCTAATTTTACCTAATAAAAATGACTGGTGAGTGTATATCTTGGAAAAAGTTAATTTGTAAATTCAAGTATTTGTAAAGCTAAAACTTTATTTTGCGCGTTTGATAGAGTGGAGAAATGGTTAACATCTCTCCTAGATTGTTTTTCTGTCTGTGTGAAATTCAAAAGATTTCCCTGAATTTTAATGACAGTGACCACTAGGACAAGGATAGTGAATTTCCACAGCGGAGACACAGACGGCAATGAAAACCTACCATTCCACAGTCCATTGAAAACAAAAAAGTTTTGCTTTTAGGCACACTTTAAGATTGATATCTTATTGATGTGTGGATATTTGTTTGAGACTTGAAGACATCATGTTAAAAAAGAGTTTTAATTTACCTAAAATTCTAATATGGTTATGTAACTTTTTTATGTAACTTAGTTCTTTTTAGCGTTCCTTTTAAACACATTTTTCTATATTTTTTTTTAATTCTTTCTGTATTCAGTGCATGTGATCATCACAATCAAAGTTATGTCAACCACACAATGATTGCGCAACATGGTCAGTCTCAGAATTTCCTGACTACCACACTGTGGCCTGTGTCTGGGATAAACCTTATTATTGTTGAGTTTGTATTCTGCAAAGGAAAACCGTTTAGAAAACCAATATATACTAACTGTAAGTGCCTATGATATCTTTCCTGTCACTTTATACAATAATGTGTATATTGTGTTGCTGCTGTGACACATATTGACTTAGAGGGACACAAAGGAAAATTGGTAATATTAACTTTTATGAATACATATGTAAAAATTCCTGGAGATTAGAAGATATAAAGAATTAAGGGTATCTAAAATGTAGGAGATATAGCTGGAATGTGTTGTTTTCATTTGTAGTCATTGCCAGGACAAGGTAATCCTGTGCCCAGGGTAAAGGTGGCAAATTGCTGTTCCTCCCTTGGCACCCTACCATTCTAAAAACCTCACCACATTCCTATTGCGTGGGGAAGGGGACAGGGCAAATATCAGAGTGCACTAGAATGTTTGTAATGTTTATGGCATTGAATGAAATAGTACCAATGTTTTTGTTACACTGCACGAACTAAAACATTTTAAATTGGTGCAAAATTATGGAGCTAACTGTAGCAAAGGAAAAACTGTCTCTGGGTTGGTGGTGTCACTGAAAGAAAAAAATGTCCCAGAGGCAGTGGTGTAGCTGGACTGAAAAAATGTCCCTGAGGCAGTGGTGTACCTGGAATCAAAAAATGTCCCTGAGTCATTGGTGTGACTGGAATCAAATATTGCTCCTAGGCAGTGGTGTCACTGAGAGGAAAAATATCCCTGAGTCAGTGATGTCACTGAAAAGAAAAACTGATCATGAGCAAGTTGTATCACTAGAGGGAAAAAATGTCCCTGAGTCACCGATTTCACTAAAATGAAAAAGTCAGTTGTGTCACTGGAAGGGAAAAATGTGCCTGTGTCCGTGGTAAAAAATTTCCCCTGCATTGGTTGTGTCACTGAAAAGGAAAAATTTCCCTGCATCAGTGGTGTCATTGAAAGGGGAAAATTTCCCAATTTTGCCAACAACATGGGTCGCAACAAGGTATAGCAGCTGTCAGGTTTAACTTTATATAAAGTGATTATAGCAATTATTTAATTGATCATGCTATTATCCCTTAGCAATCTACAGAGTTCTTCTCATATGATGAATACACAACCAATTTAATATTGTTTCGTAGAATAATAGTAGCAGGTAAAAAAAAAAGTATATTTGTTTTTCTGCAATGATCTGTGTCCAAAATGTCATATTATATTTGATTGGATTCCTAAATAATATACTAAGCAGGCCCTAGATGGCAGCATTGAGCAAATAACGACACTTTGTAAATGCTTTATGAGGTTTACAAGATATCCTAAACTTGGTTCTTCTATACGCCATGCATAGGACTGTATAATTTAAAGTATAAATTTGGTAATAAAACTACAACTGCAATTATGTTTCTTTTTTTTGCAGATTTATTATGTATATTAATATTTGCTCAACTGGGAGCCTTTCTTTTTATGTTGTTTGCTGATATTAAAACACTGTACAGCTCCATGGAGGTATGTATAAGATGAGAATAAATGTAATATCTATATTAAGAAAAGCACTTCATTTAAGATTGTTGAAATTAAATAATAACTTATGAACAAAGAAAAGACAGAATATAGAAGTACAAGTAGTACAGAAAAAAGTCACCATTCCTAGAACTGAAAGTGCTTTCAGTTTACCAATGTATAATGATACGTGTTTGCTATAATGGTTACTATTATTTTCATTGGGGAATCCCATGAAGAACTGAACATAACAATCATATCATTAAAGGAGAAGTGTGGGAGAGCAAAAGTGTGGCTGATTCGGGGTCACAGGAAAGCACAAGTATGTGTTGCACTACCCCCTTAGGAGTTGCTGAAGATTTGGGTACCCTATAGTCCTGCACAGCCAAGCAACACACATTCCTCACAGACTTGCATTCAGGAGAGAGTAAACAGTCCTTGAGCTTGTTTTTTTGTGTTAAATTTAACTTGGATAGGGTAAGGGGTGAAAAGGATGTTCAAAGTGAGCTGCAAACCCTGGGAAAACTTCCTAGAACTATGTACAAGTATTTACACAGCAAAATCTCTTCTTGGAGAGCTCTCCAGCCTCTCCTGGTGTTCCACTCCAGATCCCAGATAATCATCTTCTTATGCAACTGCCTGAGGGAATCCCTGGGCAAGGGAATCCAGTGCCTGCCACTTTACAGTCCCGGGTAAGGAGCTAACTAGGTTTCCCACCAGAGTGCTCTTTCCCCTTAACTGACACAGGGGATGTAGGATTACAGTCTGTCTTGTGAACTTGTTTAGGTGGGTGGATGCCTTCAGGCCAATTGCTGGGCTGGCTCCTTGGATGGTTCTACAGGTGTTCCTCACTCTGGAGGTGAGGCTGAACAATCCTCCTTTCCAGCTTACTGCCTGCAGGTAGGCTCCTTACCACTGGGCCCCCTCCCATTCTCCTGCCTCTCTACCTTCCTGCTCCATCTTCTACCCAAACTCCCTTGCTGCTGAGCAGGCTCGGTTACTCTTAAGGGCTGTCCTGAGCCATGTCAAGACTCCTGTTGGGAATTGGCCAGGATCCCTCAAGAGTGCAAATCAGCTTTTCCTCACCCCTGCTCACTGAGTGCTAGAGCCACGTCAAAGTCTCTAGATCAGGGGGAGGTATCAGGGAACTGCTCTGTAGAGCCTCTTAGCCGTTACGCAATTTTTACCCTGCTGACTATTTCCCCAGCCTTTCTAACTTTCTTGTTTTACAGCGCTACACATCATTTAGAGTGCATATGTCTTTGGTTCTAAAGTCATTTAAACTGAACTGGTTGCAGAAAAATTAACTCTTGTGGGCCCCCCACCACACTGCAAGACTTAAATAGTTGATTTTGTCTAGGGGACGATCAATACCGAAAGTGACTTACTTTATTACTCAGTCCCCCCTGCTGCTGGCAATTTCCTCCAATGTCTGCTGTTCCCAGGATATAGGCAGACCCTCAGCACCTTCATGTACAGTTCAAGACTGCTGGTCCTGCATTACACATGATTGAGTCAGATTGCTGTGACCTGTTGGGTAGCGAAGAAGAGCAGTTTCACAGGACCTATCTTATGAAAAAGAGAAGGTCTGTGGGACTGATAAATGAAAGTATTTCACCTTACTTCTGTCCCTCTAGAAAAATGAGCTTTTTTGCCTTGTAGTGTGGAGGGGGCCCACTGCAATAGTGAATTTTTCTCTAGCCTGGAGTTCAGATTTAAGAAAGACCAGTAAACAGCTCCATAAATGTTATAAAAATAAAATATTGGCATCTAAGTATAGGAAATTGTATGGCTTATTGTGCTGTACTTAAATGTATCGTTGTATACACAGTACACGTTCAATTACCATGATAACATATTTTTATGTAATCTTTCAGCTTGTCTGCACACCATATTATTGGAGAATTGAAATATTAAGCATGGTTATTGTGCTTTTTGTTGCATCCTATGGTGTTGAGGTAGGTTATTTTACTCGACTTTTATGATTCCTGCATTACAATCGTTTAAATAATATTTATTTCAAGAAAAAAATATTTTGAGAAAACATTTCCGGATACATTCCAAAGTTGTTTGTGATTATTATGCTTATAGTATGTACATGCATTTTCAGAGCTTTAAAGATGAATGGTAAACTACTGTACTGAGATTTAAAAAAATGTAAGTAAACTTGTATTAAAGCTGGCCTCCACCCCAACATGAAAGTTCCACTCATAATCAATATACATCCCCCTTCCCCAAGGCTTTTTAAGAAATCACAGTTTTCAAAGCCAAAATAGTGGTGCAGAAGATCTGAAGCCCTGAGAAGAATCAGCTATATGGAAAGCAATGCAGAGCTAAATGGGTTGGTAAATATCTGTCTCTTAATAGCAGCAGCAGCATTTGTACTGCTGACTTAATTTTCAGATACCTGGGTGAAGTTTCTATTTAATTTAATTAAATTTATTGTTGTGTTAACACAGTTTACATAATTGTATATTTAATCTGTGCTCCGTCTCCAATGTTTTCACCTGCTGCTGTATCTATATTAAAGAATATATACAACTGTTTCAGTCTCGTATAGTGCTACAAGTGAAAAAGTGCTTCCCTCACAAACTGCACATCTGAAGCTCCAGTTTTGGGACCCTTACAGCAGCTTTTCATGGGAGTTCAAGACCTGCTTTTTGATGCAGACAGCAACAGGGACATTTTTTCCGACCATCAGCTACAACCCCTCTGGGTTGCTGAGGTCTTCACCAGGTTCAAAACTGTGCTGCAACAAGAGTTTATTGGTACAGCAGATAAGCTGGCTACCCACTTGACCAAGGAATTCAGAGACCTGGGCGGCTGCACTAGCACCTTGCAGCCGCCACTGTTCTAGACAGCCATGAGCAGGGTCTAGATGAGCTCTCCTATGCCTTCCTCTCCTTAGAGGACTTTTTAAAACAGGTCATGAAGCGGTAACGTCCAGTTGCAAGGTCTCCATGAATCTATTGTGGACCACTCCTTTCAAGTCACAGTGCTCTTCAACAAACTCTTGTATTCCATACTCATTGACTGCCTGGAGCTTGACCACATTCATAGGGTCTTGGGCCCAAGGGAACCTGATGGTCCTCCACAGGACATTATTATAAATTTCACCTACTATTACAATAAGAAAACTCTCCTGCTTGGGACAAACCAGGGCTGTCTTTCCAAGGAGACCCATACCAATTATTTGTAGACCTGGCCCTGTTCACCATCCAGAAATGCTGGTAACTGAAACTCTTCACTGAAGCTCTTCTCAGCCAGAGAATCAAGTATAGGTGAGGGCTTCCCTTCAAGATAATTTTCACTTATCATGGTCAAAGGCACGTTACAATTCCAGAGGAAGCAAAGGTCAATCTAGAAGCTATAGAACTTCACCCTGCGACTGACCCCACTTGCAGCCCAGCCAAGTCTTTTCCTTCTATTTCATCCTCTACTCTCCTAGGCCCATCATGGGAGAAGGTGGCGAGTTGCAAATGCACTCTCTCCTGCACACCCCTCTCATCTGGATCTGAGCCTGGATGGATCAAGTATGATTTTCCCTGCTCTTTGGGTCCCTGTAACCATTTTTTTTAGGCTCTGTCCTCTCTTTATGAGAGGTCTGACCATTTCTTCTTTGAGACTTCTGAGCAATTGGTTATGGTCCTCAAGTTTTTACTTTTTTTGGGGGGGGGTGGGCTGCAACCTGTTCCTAGGCCACAGCCACTAGGCTACCATTAGCAAATTTAACTTCAGTTTGTTCAGCTTTCGAAGGGATTTGGGGTGTGTCAACTTGGGGGTCTGGCTTTCTGAGACCTCTGCAGAGTTGCATCCCAGACAACTCGGGAGTCCATTTAGCATCTCAGACCCCTTCTTGTAGGGCCACTGGCGGTCTGTTCAGCTTCCATGGCCGGGCTTACATTTCCTTCTTCTCTAAATTTACTTATGCTTTCCTCACTTGGGACCCTAGTGGGCACCTCCCCCCCCTTTTTATTTCTCTCTGCCCCCACTCGTTATTGAACCCCTGGTTTCTCACTTCACATACACCCCCACTTTATCCTTGGTAATTAGGAGCCCTGCTAGATTTTTATACGGAGCACTTCTGCTGCTATTGTTTAATACGCATGTTAGTCCTTGCTATTAGCTCTGTTTTAAGATTCCCAACAGAGTCGGACGACCCCTTGTTGCAGCCCCAGTCCCAACCCCGTGCCCTGTGACTAGCTTTACTCTGCTCATTACCATGCCTCAACATTTTTCTACCTCTAGACAGTTCTGGTCTAACTGTTTATTGTTTAGTCCAAATGGTTACTGGTACTGCTTCTGGTGCCATTAGCAAAACCCTCCTGATCAAATTGCTCTAATTAGTAGTTTTGTGTTTTGTTCTATACCCTACTGGCAACTTGCTGTTCACCTGTGTCGTATTTTTACATTCTACTGCAACTCTCCTATTGTTATTATTTTATAGGAGCAGATATCATGTGCCCTGGGTGAGAAGCACCCCTCCCTGACTATGTACATAGCCACTTGGACATAACATGCGAATATGATGCTTTTGTGTTTGTGCTTTTGATCTGTTTTGGTCCCTCCTCTTTTCCCTTTCTCCTTCCCTCCCCACATACATTGGGGTCCCATTTACCCTCTTCATCCCCCATTCACTCGGATTTCTTCATGACTTCCAAATGGTCTGTCCCCAGCCCCACCATTTCATCACAACCTCTGACATTTTACTCTCAAAATAGTCAAGGCTTCAATTTCTGTGTTAAAAGGGACAACGGTCTGCCATTATCTTAATTCTTGTGGGGGCAGTTTGTTTGCAGGAGACTAGGTTTTCTACCTCATCCACTCTGGTCTTCTTGAATCCACACTAACCATGCTTTTACACTGTGTCCACCCAGGAAAAACACTGAAGTGTCCTGGACACCTTTTGTTGGGATATCCCATTCATGTATTCTTTGGAGATCACAGATCATACCGGGTGGTATCTGCTTTTACAGAGTAAACTTTTGACCACAAGGTCATTATAGTCACTCATTATGCCTCTAACACATTTCAGCAGGGATTCCTCTCCCACCTCTTCAAGGTTGTCTGTGATCATAGCATTCCAACATAGTCCTCAATTCTCTCATGGATCAACAATACCCTCAAGAGGCCGAAGTATCCCATAATTCTTCTTAGGAATCTCTTATGCACTGCCTTCTCCAAGAATACCATTTAGCAGATGTTTGGAGGGAAATCCTTTCTAAATCTAGAGAATACAATTCAACTCAAACCCTCACTGTAGCTTTTGCAGAATCGACCACATCTTTGTGCCATTATAATATTTACCCTGGTTGACAAGATCATCTAAACCATATATCCTGTTTATAGTGAAAATGTATCACCAGATGCAGATGTGCATTAAAATACATATTTCAACTCAATAAGACATTTTTACACAAATGTCCATAGATAATAAACAGGAAATACTGTAAAATAATGTGCAATATAATTTATAGTGTATGCCCACTGTGCTAATTCCAAAAAATTCATGAATATAATCCAATGTGCACACAGTTTTAAACTTTTCCATTTGCAGTACACTCCAGTTTCACTTGTGCAAACACAATTAGCTCCTCATCACAGGTGCCCCTCTCTCCACACCATGTGCTTTCGATATTGCTCAAACCTAAGGTAATGGACCTCTATGTCACAAGAGGTCAAACAAGCATGACAAAGCATCTGTATCCATCCTTCAGCCAAGGCACCAAATATTCCACAGAGGATAAATCACAATGCTAGTTGTGAAAAACAAACACAGCCTTCCATAGTGCTCTCTATTACAATTTATTAACCTCCCTAGCGGTATGATTATTTCAGATTTTTGGTGCTGAAAGTGGTACCATTATTTTGCATGGAAATATGTTGTTTTTTTATTGTAGGCTGTAATATTTAGGAATAACTCACTGAAATCTGTCTGAACAAGAGTCTATTAAACATCCCGGGTATGATAAAATTTGAAACACGAAATCATAAATTATAATTTAATAAATAATCATAAAAAAGAATAATATAATAATATTACATTTAATTCAATAATATAATCAAACCAAAAACACTGAAATTTGAAATATAGCACCAAGTTCGCACATCGCTGAGCAAAGTCGCAAAATTGTTTTCAGTGTCTGATGACGAATTTCTGCACGAATCATTATCACTCAATTCTGCAAGTGTATCTGATTTACTATCGCTGTTCTCTAGCTGATCTAAACCCGCTTTTGACCTAAAGGGACACTTTTTGGACGCCATGGACTTTTCTAAGTTTCCAGGCAGAAAGAACATTCAAAATGCAGACAGGGGACAGGACAAAGCACTAGGGATAAAATGTATGTGAAATGGGTTGAAACAGCAATGTTTTACTATGTAAAATCGTTTTTGAAAAAATGACTTTTTTAAACAATTTTCAAATTTCCCGCCACCGGCGGCACCCGTACGTCCCGATGTCACAGGGACCGGAACACAGGAGCCGGATGCTGGCAGCAGCCGGAGGAGATGGCCGGGGACACTGCAGGGGGACACATCGCGGGAGCGAAGGACAAGGTAAGTGCTGCAGGGAATCCCTATGCAGCGCTGCATGGTAAGCCCGAGTGTAGCTCGGGGTTACCGCTTTTGATACAGACATTTTAACCCCGAGCTACACTCGGGAATACCGTTAGGGAGGTTAACACTCACCAAGCAAATAAACGTACACACAAATGAAAGAGATAAATCCAGCCTTCAATAAATACAGCTCATTTCCACCACTTTGTAATACAACCTGCAGTAACAGATTTGGCTTTTCTCCGAGTTTCATCCAGCTCCGTTTAGCATGAACCTGGCTAAATGTAGTGCTCTTAATATCTCTCCTCCCCCAGTGAAGGTCATGCATATTCAGTTTGTCTACAGTACAGGATCAAGCTAGTCTCCGGAGCAGGGCGCAGTGGTCCCGGGATATTGGAGAGTTTGCTGGAGATGTCTGGGATGCTGCCCTGGAATCTGTTGCAGGAATTTCTCTTTCTCCCTCTCATGTATTGTCTCAATTGTTTATTCTCCATCAAGCATATAGGACCCCTGTGCAACTGTATCGGTTGGGCAGGCAGGATTCACCTGATTGTCCAAGGTGTAGGGTCCAACAGGGAGATTTCATTCATATGCTCTGGTGTTGCCCCAAGTTACATAGATATTGAAGTGAGGTTCTCCAACTTATTTCTCTAGTATCGCAATATACTGTTCCTCAGGATCCCTTGCATTGTCTGTTGGGGGCACTGGACCAAGAACTGTTCTAACCAGATATCTAGAATTTTATATCTGGCTAGGAAGTTGATAGCAAGGTACTGGTTATCATCGGCTCCTCCCACTAGTAAGCAATGGATAGATTATGTTAATTCTTTACTCTCACTGGAGAAAGTCACACATCAACATAGCAATGCATATCGTAAGTTCCAGCAGGTATGGCAGGGTTGGCTGGATACACCTGGGCTCGCCCCTCCTCAATTGATAGTGGACTGACTTCTGCAGGTGTGATATTTTATATCAGGTGTGTAGCTACACTCCTCCCCCTGGGGAGTTCATGTGCATCTCCCATTCTTGTTGATGAGACGACTCGGGTGAACCAGAGGTTGTTGTCGATGTGTTTTTTTTTATTGTTTGAAGACATGTTTTGGGCTTTGTTCCTTTCCTCCATTTCTGTTTGCATCTGGTCGGGAAGAAATAAGATGTAAAAAGGAAAACGCAAGATATTGTCAAGAAAGTTTTGGATCTTTGTGGTCTCTGTTTTGTTTAATTACCATTTCTGTTATTCTGTATATTATGGGATTTGCATATCCATGTTCTATTTACAGTTGCAAGAAAAAGTATGTGAACCCCTTGGGATTACGTGGAGTTTTGCATGAATTGGGCATAAAATGTGCTCTGAACGTCATCTAAGTCACAACAATAGAAGAACACAGTCTGCTGAACATAATACTACACAAACATTAGATGTTGCCATGGTTTAATTGCACATAACATGTAAACATTCACAGTGCAGGGAGGAAAAAGTATGTGAGGCCCTAGCTTAATGACTTCTCCCAGAGCTAATTGGAGCCAGGAGTGAGCCAACCTTGACTCCAATCAGTGTGATGATATTGGATGTGTTGCTGACAGCTGTCCTGCCCTTAAAAAACACACACCTGTTTTGGGTTTACTGGTTTCAAGAAGCACTGTCTGATGTGAACCATGCCTCGCAGAAAAGAGCTCTCAGAAGACCTACGATCAAGAATTGTTGACTTGCATGAAGCTGGAAAGGGTTACAAAAGTATCTCCAAAAGCCTTGATGTTCATGTGTCCACGGTAAGACAGACTGTCTACAAATGGAGAAAGTTTAGCATTGTTGCTTCTCTCCCTAGGCGTGGTCGTCCTGTAAAAATGACTGCAAGAGCACAGCGCAGAATGCTGCATGAGGTAAAGAAGAATCCCAGAGTGTCAGCTAAAGACCTAAAGAAATCTCTGGCACATGCTAACATTTTTGTTGACACATCTACAATAAGGAAAACATTAAACAAGAATGGAGTACATGGGAGGACACCATGGAGGAAGCCATTGCTGTCCAAAAAGAATATTGCAGCACGTTTGAAGTTTGCAAAAGAGCACCTGGATGTTCCACAGCACTACTGGCAGAATATACTGTGGACAGATGAAACCAGATTGAGTTGTTTGGGAAAAACACACAACACTATGTATGGAGAAAAAAAGGCACAACACACCAACATCAAAACCTCATCCCCACTGTAAAACATGGTGGAGGGAGCATCATGGTTTGGGGCTGCTTTGCTGCCTTAGGGCCTGGACGGATTGTTGTCATTGATGGGAAAATGAATTCCAGAGTTTATCAAGACATTTTGCAGGAAAACGTATGACCATCTGTCCGCCAACTGAAGCTCCGCAGAGGATGGGTGATGCAACAGGACAATGACCCAAAGCATACAAGTAATTCAACAAAACAATGGCTGCAACAGCACAGAATACGCCTTCTGGAGTGGCCCAGTCAGAGTCCTGACCTCAACCCGATTGAAATGCTGTGGTATGACCTTAAGAGAGCAATTCACACCAGACATCCCAAGAATATTGCTACACTGAAAGTTTTGTGAAGAGGAGTGGTCCAAAATTACTCCAGATCGTTGTGCAGGTCTGATCTGCAACTACAGGAAACGTTTGGTTGAGGTTATTGCTGCCAAAGGAGGGTCAACCAGTTATTAAGTCCAAAGGTTCACATGCTTTTTCCTCCCTGCACTGTGAATGTTTACATGTTATGTGCAATTAAACCATGGCAACATCTAATGTTTGTGTAGTATTATGTTCAGCAGACACTGTGTTCTTCTATTGTTGTGACTTAGATGACGTTCAGAGCACATTTTATGCCCAATTCATGCAAAACTCGACGTAATCCCAAGGGGTTCACATACTTTTTCTTGCAACTGTGTAATCTCATGTGTAATCCTGCTGTTGCAGTAATATCATTGTGGATTCTGTAAGTACTGTTCCATTATCTCTATTATCTTCACAATAAAAGTTGCTTAGATTTAAAAAAAAAAAAGAAATGGCTTTGCAGCTCTTACCCCTGAAAACACACACACACGTACACACTATATTTCCAAAAGTATTGGGACACCTCTCCAAATCATCAGAAGCTCAGTGAATTCAAGCATGGTACCATGCTAGGTTGCCAACTGTGCAATAAGTCCATCCATGAAGTTTCCTTGCTACTAAATATTGTGTGCAGAAGTCGCCAACTGTCTGCAGAGTCAATAGCTAAAGACCTCCAAACTTTTGTGGCCTGTAGATCAGCACAACAACAGTGCATAAAGAGCTTCATGGAATGGGTTTCCATAGCTAAGCAGCTGCATCCAAGCCTTACATCACCAAGTGCAATGCAAAGCGTCAAATGCAGTGGTGTAAAGCATGCCACCAATGGACTCTAGAGCAGTGGAGACGTATTGTCTGGAGTGATGAATTATGCTTCTCTGTCTGGATATCCAATGGACATGTCTGGGTTTTGCGGTGCCAGGAAAACGGTACTTGTCTACTGCATTGTGTCAAGTGTAAAGTTTAGTAGAGGGGGATTATGGTGTGAGGTTGTTTTTCAGGGGTTGGAAACTCTTAAGCTGTCAGCATGCCAAGACAACTTTGGACAATTTCATGCTCCCAACTTTGTGGCAACAGTTTGGGGATGGCACAAAGTGCACAAAGCAAGGTCAATAAAGACATGGTTGAGCGAGTTTGGGGTGGAGGAACTTGACTGGCCTGCACAGAGTCCTGACCTCAACCCAATAAAATACCTTTGAGATGAATTAGAGTGAAGACTGCGAGCCAGGCCTTCTCGTCCGACATCAGTGTCTGACCTCACAAATGTGCTTCTGGAAGAATGGTCAGACATTCCCATAGAAACCTTGTGGACATCCTTCCCAGAAGAGTTGAAGCTGTCATAGCTGCAAAGGGTGGGCCAACTCAAAATTAAATCCTACAGACTAAGACAGGCATGTCATTAAAGTTCATGTGCATGTAAAGGAAAAAGCGTCCCAATACTTTTGGCAAATATAGAGTGTGTGTGTATATATATATATATATATGTGTGTATATATATATGTATGTATATTATAAAATGTTTCAACCATACCATGGTGTCGTTTGCAGGATGGACCATTAAGTGGCGCCAACGATCTCATGAGAGAATATGTAGTAAGCTATGTGTTATGTAAGGCTAATCATTTTTTTTCCCTTTTAGAGTTTTGTTTACAATAGAACACTCTGGCAACGTCTAAAAAGGATTTCAGGTTACAAGTCGAAGAGTCATTACAAACAACTGCAGGACACATTGGAAAAGAACACAGACTGCTCTTTGCAAAAGGAAATGTTCAATTCAAGTCGACATTATTCAGTCATGGCAAATGAGTATGTTTAAAGTATTCATCATTCAAAATCTTTCAGATAAAGGGGTGGATTGTGTGTAGACACAGCATGTTGGAAATTATTTCTCTGGCTCATCAAATACCTCCCCCACCATATCCTTCTATCTGCTGTTAGTGCAGTGGTTCTCAACCTTCCTAATGCCGCGACCCTTTAATACAGTTCCTCATGTTGCGGTGACCCCCAACCATAAAATTATTTTTGTTGCTACTTCATAACTGTAATTTTGCAGTGGGAGGAGTAGTGCCACATCATTGGTGTCAGTGGGAGGAGTAGTGCCAAATCACTGATGTCAGTGGGAGGAAGAGTGTCCCATCGTTGGTATCAGTGGGAGGAATAGTGTCCCATCATTGGTATCAGTGGGAGGAATAGTGCCACATCGTTGGTGTCAGTGGGAGGAATAGTGCCCCATCTTTGGTGTCAGTGAGAGGAATAGTGCCCCATCATTGGTATCAGTGGGAGGAATAGTGCCCCATCATTGGTGTCAGTGTGGGAGGAATAGTGCCCCATCATTGATGTCAGTGTGGGGGGGGATAGTGCCCCATCATTGGTGTCTGTGGGGGGAGGAATAGTGCCCCCATCGTTGGTGTTAGTGGGGGGAGGAATAGTGCCCCATCGTTGGTGTCAGTGGGGGGAGGAATAGTGCCCCATCGTTGGTGTCAGTGGGGAGAGGAATAGTGCCCCATCGTTGGTGTCAGTGGGGGGGAAATAGTGCCCCATCATTGGTGTCAGTGGGGGGAAATAGTGCCCCATCATTGGTGTCAGTGGGAGGAATAGTGCTCCATCATTGGTGTTAGTGACACCAATGATGGGGCACTATTCCTCCCACTGACACCAATGATACTTACCTTGCTGACCTCTGCTCCAACCTGGGCTCGCTCTCTCCCTCTCCCATCTACAGCCAGCATACCTGGCTGCAGCAGCACCATCTGCACGGTGCAGACACTTACCGGTCAGCTGTCTTCCTTCTCCGGCCGCTCTCCTCTTCACTTGCTCCGGCAACTCCCTCACTCGATCTTCTTTGATCTTCGCGCTGCCGCTCGGCTCCTCCTCTCCAAGCTCCACCTCCTCGCCGATGATTGGCCGCATGTGTGCCTCTCCTGAGCTACAGTTCCGGCTGGCAATCACCAGCGAGGAGGCGGAGCTGTTGAGTGATCCCTGGGGTGTGGCCAGATGACAGGGGCGTCATGTCATCCACACATTGCCTGGAGATGCATTGAGGAGCGGTGTCTCAGTTCCTAAGACCATCGGAAAAATGTGTTTTCCGATGCTCCTAGGCGACCCCTGTGAAATTATTGTTCGACCCCCAAAGGGGTCGCGACCCACAGGTTGAGAACCGCTGTGTTAGTGCAAAAAGGTGAAAGTCTTTATGGAAAGTCACTACAGTGAACACTTGACATTCATTTTGGATTTTCTCCTAATGTTACCCAGAAGCTACACTACGTTTGTTATGATACCAAATGCAGTAATAATGGAGAAATGCAAATCCTGAATTTTCCATATAAATCTGTGCTTTAACATGCCCCTTCTGCCTTAGAATCCTTGCTATTGGTCAGTTAGGCTGCCTATAACAGCAGTGGTCCTGATAGTGAGGGATTGAGCCAAAGTGCTTACTTCTCAGCTGAATTCATTTCTTTGCATTACAGATCACCCCAGGTTTTGAAGGTTTTGAGGTGCTCTAGTAGAAATCTAAAAGTATTTTGAGCTGTTCAGTGTTCTGTAAGAATTATGTATGAATAAATTACAGTTTATTTTAATCATTACAATTGGTTTATATTGGTCCTTACATCTTCCAAGATAAGCCTAAACTTCTGAGATCTCGTAGAAAATGCTACAAATTTCAATTAATAATAATTCGACTCAGGGTCATTTTGATTCATTTCAGAGTGAATGTTTTCTTTGGATTGCTTATCATGGTATAAAACTTTTCTTAAGTCTTAGAGCAGCAAGCTCAGTAACAGACTACCTGTCTTAGGATGTTCCCACTGTAGATGGAGCCGACACACCCGTGGCAGTAGTAGTATTAGATGCACTAGCAATTTTAGATAGCCTTCACTAACAAATCTGTGCTCCATCTAATACTTTTTAAACAGTTTTTTTTGGATACATAGATTTTGCTTGGATTTTATATAAATAACTAAAAGCTGATCATTGTAAGCACCCCTGTCAGTGTTAATTGGTTTGTCTCAACCCAAGGCCTAAATAAGACATTTAATGCAATTACCACATCCAACCAAGCAACTGCCATTTAAGTTTTTTTTTTTGACAGGGGGGAGGGGGTGTCAATGTCATTATTTTTACATTTTACCTTAACACACCTGCACTGTACACAGATGTGAGCAGTTTGTGTGTGTGTGTGTATGTTGTGTTACATTGTGCTTGAAAAAATGGTGCAGATGCGTTTATTGTGCCCCATAATGCATTGACAATTAATTCAAATTTAATTTGCTGCCTTTGTGCATCACATGTTAATGTGCAAAATGACATGCATTAAAGCACTGTAGCAATTTGTATGGGCATTTTTAAATAGTTGTTTATTGCGCAAGAATGCTTACAGGATTTACAATCATGTTCAGAGGATGCCATTTCTTCCAATTGATATGCATTCAGTGCTTCCCATGTGTCTACTGTTTTTCAAGAATAATTTCTCTATCCAGAAAGTTGGTAATACATGTATAATGTGTAATTGTAACTTACGTGTGTGACATTATGCCAGTGTAGCCCTAACCCCTTAGGTGTATAGTCCTGCTCAGCCAGGCAATACTCACCATCTATAGACTTGCATTCCAGAGACAGTAAAACAGTCCTTGAGCTTGGTTTTTAACTTTTTTTAGGAGAAATGAATTTGGATGGGGTAAGGGGTGTATGGAATGCCCAAAGGTACTGCAAACTGAGGATAACTTCCTGGAACTATGTACAAGTATTTACACAGCAAAACTCTTCCCATTTTAAATTCTTATACGCAAGTTATTGGCCATAAAATGGCTATGGGGACTCTGGTACTGCTCTGAGGGACATGAATCACTGAAAAAAAAAAGTACAGTTTTCAAAAGGGGCGGTCGTTTTTCATTGCTCAAAGTAAAAAAAAAAAATATGCAAAATTCCTTTAACACCCCGTTCACATCGGGGCGACTTGGCATGTGATTTGAATGCCCTGCAACTTGAAAAAGTCAAACCCTATTGTCTGCAATTGGAGCGGTCATAGCGGTAGTACATGCACTAATTTTGGTGCGATTTCATTAGACATCTGTATCAGATGTTTTGCAAATCGCACCTGAAATCGGCGGGTCCCCTGACTTTGAAATCGCGAGACTTCACTGCAAGTCGCACAGTTTCAAAGTCGGGCTTGATGTGAACGAGTGCTAAATATCATACCTGGAGTGAGTCCCCTCAAACTACCTGCAAAGTTACACATCTGTACAATGTATAGAACCTGCTGCAGGAGGACTGACATTTTTTTTTTAAATGGCATCTTTGTTTAAAAAAAAAAAAAAAAAAAAAAAATCCAATCCATACTGAGGGACACCACAGTAAAATATATTTTTTTAAATGTGTGCGGTTCCCCCTAAAAACCCTTTAGGCCTGGTAGGACTTTTCAGGGGAACACCACCTCCCAAAAATGGGGGGGGGGGACATGCGTGAGGTTCCCCCCTAAAAGCCATACTAGGCCCTTTAGGCCTGGTAGGACTTTTCAGGGGAACCCCACCCCCCAAAAATGGAGGGGAAAGCATGCCCCCCCCCCTAAATTCCTACCAGACTCTTGATCCGAGCACAGGCCTGGCAGGCCAAGGAAGGGGGGGACTAGTGAGCCATACAAAGCAGTGTGCTTACAGTGAAGCACACACACACACACACACACACACACACACACAGCCATCATAATGAAATAGCACACAGCACACAGTTAACCTTTTGATTGCCCCAGATGTTAACCCCTTCCTGCCCAGTGCCATTAGTAGCATCAGTGCTTTTTATTAGCAGTGATCACTGTATTGGTGTCACTGGGGATGTCAGTGACAAGTCAGTTCCCCCCAGTGTCAGAATGCCCGCCGGAGTCCCTCAGTCCCGCTATAATATGCTGATCGCCACCATTACTAGTAAAAAGAAATAAACAAATAAACATTTTTTAGTATCTATACTGCCATTTGTAAATGATATAACTTTCACTTAAACCAATTAATTTACATGTATTGGGATTTTTTTTTTAGCAAAGACATGTAGCAGAATATATATTTTGCCCTAAATTTATGACGAAATTTGATTTTTTTAAATTATTTCACTGGACATGTTTAAAAGCAAAAAGTCAAAAATATTGTTTTTTTCTCAAAATTGATGATAAAAATGCACAAGCGATCAAAAACCACCAAAAAAACTCTATTTGTGGGAAAAAAGGATGTAAATTTAATTTGGGTGCAGCGTTGCATGACCACGCAATTGTCAGTTAAAGTAACAGCGCCGTATCGCAAAAAATGGCCTGGTCAGGAATCCTCTGCAGGGCAAGTGGTTAAAGTGAACATTGAACTTAAACTTTGTTTACCTCTGTTAGAATACAATGTTCATGTATTTTGTGCAACAACTACAAATATATTTTTCAGCCAGTAGATGGCAGTGTTTATATGTTTGTAGCTGCATCTATGGCTATACTCTATGTCTTTTTCCTGAATAAAAGTTCCTGTTTACAGAGAAGCAGCAGATAAACACACATGGACTGTGCACTGTCTGCCCTGTAGGGCTATATACAGAATCTCTAATAACCTCATTCATTAAAAAAGTGAAAATTAAATTTAAAAAAGTGAACACACTCTACTCCTGTAGTAAATTAGGGTCAATGTTAGAATCTTGATCAGGTAGTATATTAAATAGGCAAGTTATGTTCAATGC